AGTCACATGACTGTAGTGTATATGCTCACTGTCATAACAGCCATGGTTCTCATTACTGCAAGTGTTGGCATGGTTACGGCAGTGATGGGAAGCTATGTACAGGTAAGAAAACATTGCATAATGAAAATGTATTGCTACCACTGGAACAAGTTCTACTTATATGCCCTGAAACAGTTGCCACCATTCCTTCCTTTGCTGTGTGTGGAAAATGTTGATCTTGTTCCGGATCTGGTTTCAAATGTTTCATTCCCTTGTTTCACACAACTCATCTTCTTCTTGTTGCTACAGCAATATCATGTGGAGACCCCGGTATTCCTCAGTACTGCAGTCGTATTGGCTGGAACTTCACCTTTTCCCGATCACTGCAGTATGCGTGTAAACGAGGATTCCTGATGACTTCTGGATCAGCACACTTGTCATGTCAGGCTGATGGCCAGTGGAATGGCTCTTTACCAACGTGTCGTCCGGTACTGTGTCCAGAACTGAGAACACCAGCTTGGTCAAAACGTAACAGCTCCAACTTTACCTATTCCAGTGTGGTGCTGTTTGAATGTGCCAGTGGCTTTGAGCTTGTTGGTTCAGCTGAGCTTGACTGCCTGTGGACTGGAGAATGGAGTAACTCTCCACCAAAATGTCAGGCAGTGAAATGTGGCAGTGTTAGTATCGCGAATGCTGGTGTAGTTATGGTGAATGATTCGTTCTCTGGCCATGCGGTGCTGAAATGCAACAGTGGATATTCAAGTGGTGGAGAAAATATCACTTTACAGTGCCTTGCAGATCAACAATGGTCATCATCATCTGATGCCTGTGCTGGTAAGTTAATAATAGCACACGAATCACACCTTGCTCAGAACTTCTCCATCTTCCTAACAGTCTCATCACTGCTATTAACTGACTTTACACAGTCACTCACCATATTTCTTGTGCCAAGCACACTGATCCTGTTGTGACACATACTTATGTACTTACACACACACCAGACAGTCAGAGGCAAAATGCTGTGTAGCTGGAACTTTAAGTTCCACGCATTTCAGCAGCAGCTGCCTAGACCGGCCTTGTGCGTACTTAGGTACTTATGCATGACAACTGTTCCGTACTCATGTGCAATATGTTCTATGTGTGCATACCCTTCTGTGCCTAGATGTGAATGAATGTTTGATTGGCACACACAAATGTAGTGTGTATGGACAGTGTAAGAATAGTCCTGGAATTTACAAGTGTCTATGTCACACTGGGTACATTGGTGATGGATTCTCTTGTCAAGGTACGTTAATGGCTGCTTTGTATTAAACTCTTGTGGTTGTACTTGGCATGTGTCTTCTGCCTGTCTGTCTGCCGGCCTGCCTGCCTACCTGACTCCTGAGTGCCTGTCTGCCTGTCTGCCTGTCTGCCTGCCTGTCTGCCCGCCTACATGTCTGTGTGTCTGTCTGGCTGGCTGTCTCTCAGTCTGTCGTGACCTGCATGTAGCCACCAACAGGTTGTGGATTGTTTACTGGCATAACGTTACAGCACTGTACTGGTAGTTTTTTTAGCATTGTTCCGGTAGTTAAATAATCTGTCATTACCAATCATGTCTCTGTTGTCTTCGGCAGCTGTAGACTGTGAAACTCCGGTTACTCCAGCAAATGGTGCTCTGCGCGGAACAGACTTCACGTTCAAGCACACTGTTGGGTTTTACTGTGATGCCGGTTACATACTGGAGGGAGCGGCATTGGCTGTGTGCGAGTCTTCGGCCCGCTGGAGTGCCATGTCTCCGCGGTGCAATCCTGTACAGTGTTCCAGATTATCTACACCACTGCACTCGCTGTTGAACAGTAGCAACGCAATGTACACAACCGTTGTGCGGACTACATGTGAGATTGGATATCGTCCTGCAGGCGATGTGTCCCAAGTGCAATGCCAAGCCAATGGGCTTTGGAGCGGACGTCTTAGCGACTGCCAGATTGTTGAATGTCCTGCACTCATTGCACCATCCTACGTATCAGTGGTCGAGACGAAGCCAACATACCGAGGTAGAATGGTGTGGGTGTGTAGGTCTGGGTTTACCCAGGTCAGCGGCAACTCGACCAGACAGTGCACAGCCAGTGGAACGTGGACTGGTGATGCGCTGGTGTGCAAAGGTATGTCATTGAACTAAGGTATGTCACTGAACTAAGGTATGTCATTGAACTATATTTCCTACGTAGTTTAGTACCTCCTTTTCATTGCAAACCCATCTGATCAGTGCCGTCAGTGGTACACATTTTGTTTGGAATACTAAATGTAAGCCGTTTGCTTTCCGAGTCCGCCAGTTCCTGTGTGTATGCTTCTCCTATCTTAGTTGCATCGACTACCAAACCGTGTCCAGTGATACTAAAGAAGGACTCAATTTTACATAGCTTGAATGAAACCGCTGATGTTCCTTTCAGGCCGAGAGAAGCTGACACTGGCTGACATCGCCTGTCTTTAAGATTTCTCTTGCTGCTGCTCTCCGCTCTGTCCAGATGTGGATGAATGCACGCACCGTGACTTGCACAACTGCAGCACGTTTGCGTCATGTCGCAATGTGCTGGGAGCTCATGCCTGCACCTGCCTGCCAGGCTATAAAGGAGATGGGACGGTATGCCAAGGTGAGATGGACACTTGTGTGCATTGTCTGGCTCATGTACAGTGCTGTTCAGTAAAATCCGATCAAGCGAGTCAAATCCACACTGGGCGCTGTACAGGGCACAGACTTGACTCACACGATCAGGTTTCACTGAACAGCACTGTAGTTGAATGCTATTGCTATCTTGGAGCAACACTCCGTCCGCTTTCCTATTCAATACGTGATGCAATAGCTTTCTATTGTAAATTTGATTAGTCCTGCACAAGGTATGAGTCACATAACTCATAAACTCTGCCTTGTTTTCTAGCCTCATGGTATGCATTCAGGTTGTCATCCTTGATGGATATTGGTCTTATTTATCTTCTCTGTACAGCGGTGTCATGCAGATCACCCTCGATCCCGCCCTACGGCGCCATGCTGGGGAGAAACTTCACATTCTCGAAAGTCATTCGCTACTCGTGTGCAAAGGGTTACGTGCTGGTGGGTTCCACTCTTCTTGCATGTCAAGCTGATGGTAAATGGAATGGAACATCGCCAGTGTGTCAGCCTGTATCCTGTCCTGATCTACTGCCACCAGCCTGGGCAAAGCTCAGCAGTGTCAACTTCACGTTTGGCAGCATTGTGCCCATTGAATGCCACAGTGGGTTTAGTCTGAGAGGGGACTCAGTGCTACATTGCAACTGGTCGGGATCATGGAACAGCTCACTACCTACCTGTGTGCCTGTGAGCTGCCCAGAAATCACAATACCATCAAATAGCAAGCTTCTGTATGCCAATACTACCTTCAGTGGCAAGGCTGTTTTCGGCTGTGAGCCGGGGTTTTCCAGTGCGCTGCGCCTGCAACAGATCTGCACGGCCAATGCTACCTGGTCTACACTGCAGGGACATTGCAAAGGTAAAGGATTAATACATGCCTCTAGGTAGCGAATTTCCACTTTTCTTGCTAGTGTACAACCTATTTCAAAGTAGTTATCTTGCACTCAGTGTACTATCATAACATCAGTTATAGGTTTTAATGCCAGCATGTACTCAAATGCTGATGACAGCAGGTATGAGTGATCCTTATTCTGCTGGTATAAACCTTGCCTTGGAATAGACATTCCTTCTTCTACTTGGCTTGTCCCGTGTAACGTTCTTGCTACTGTTGTTTGTGCTTTGCCCGCTCACAGATATAGATGAATGTCAGATGTCTGCACACAGTTGCAGTGGTAATGCTCGGTGCTTGAACAGTGTTGGCAGTTACTCGTGTCTCTGTAAGACTGGCTATACTGGCTCTGGATTTCACTGCCAAGGTGAGTGCTGAAAAAGCGTGAACAAGCCATTTGTATTGATTTTGCAAGCTATCATCACTTGCAAGAAATGGTCTTCTATATAAAGCCTTTACTGCTGAAAACCATTGTCTTGTCAAGCATGTATTCAGCTATGATAAAGTAGGAACAGTAATGATTTCCAACAAAGTTTACGGTAATGCCCTCCACCAATCCACTCACTAATTTAAAATGCAGAATGACCATGCTGTCCAGGCCTATTCCATTGCTCTGCATAAATACCAATGGTTTTCCTGCAAAAGAGCTTCTGATATCATGGATATTTGACAGCTCATTTCGTCTTGTGCATGCATTGTCACAATGTTCTCTTCACCTGTGCGTCTTTTGGCCGATATAGATGTAACATGTCCAAGGCCATCTACACCCCTACACGGCGTTCAGTATGCCCAGTCGTACAAGTACTCCAGTAATGTGCAGTTCTCCTGTGATAGTGGTTACAACCCTGTTGGGCATACTGTGATCACGTGTCAATCAAACGGAACGTGGAGTTCAGCCTCGCCTCAGTGCAAACCGGTTGAATGCCCCAAGCTTGTCCAACCGGAAAATTCCAGTTTGAATACAACCCATCGTGTATTTGGTACCGTGGCTGGGTTGTTCTGTGATCTGGGCTACAAGCATAGCCGTCAACAAGATCTCAACACGGAATGCTTGGCCACCGGTGTGTGGAGTCAATCACTACCCACCTGTGAGATGGTACAATGCCCGCAACTCGCTGCACCGCACTACGTCCGTGTAGCCGAGGAGGGCAAGGTGTTCGGTAGCCAGCTGACCTGGACGTGCCGGGACGGATTTGCCAAAGCCAGCGGTGACGAGGTCAGACAATGTGGATTGGATGGCGAATGGAGTAGAAGCCCACTGGTGTGCAAAGGTAATGTATGAATTCATGCTTCACTGAGACCAGCATTACATATACTTGTGTAGCAATGCGCATAGCAGGGTGAGTTACATTTTATCTATTTACCTATTTATCACACAAGTTCACAATGCCGGCAAACTTTGCTTTGTTGTTACTCCGAGTTTCATGGCAAAATGACCAATCATCAGCCGATAACAATGTGTGTCCCTGGCTCCTCTTCATGGGCTGAGCACTTTCGCAAGTCAACGGCAACTCTGCTTTGTACAGCATTTACTATCTCTGTCTCTATCTCTCTACAACTTGCTTTGTCTCTGTGTCTGTGTGTGTGTGTGTGTGTGTGTGTGTGTGTGTGTGTGTGCGTGCGTGTGCGTGCGTGCGTGCGCTTGTGTGTGCAGATGTCAATGAATGCATGGTTGGTGCTCACCAGTGCAGTGCGTATGCACAGTGTAGTAACACGAACGGCACATACGCCTGTGCATGTTGGCATGGTTACGCTGGCAATGGTACAGTCTGCACAGGTGAGGTGTGGCGCTGGTATTCGTTTCATGCACTCGTTTTGTTTCTGTATACTAGTAGGTGCACAGTGAATCTGTTTTCAAGGACCATTTCACATAGTGGATACAAATTTGTCTGCAAGTACTATTTTTAAAACACAAAGTGATAGCTCTTCATTGGTTTCAGGGAAAGATGCAAACGGGAAAAGTTTGTAAATGAATGACAGTCTCCACCAGGACTCGAACCAGGGAACTGCACTTGAGGTCAGCTGTTCAAAAATGGTTTCCTCCAAATGACGTGTGATCTTTCTCCTTGTGTTGCTATTGTAGCGATCTCATGTTCAAACCCTGGCGACCTCGCGTATGGCACGAGGAGTGGCTCTAACATCACTTACTTGAAGTCAGTAATGTACCAATGTGCTCGAGGCTACCAGCTTGTGGGGCATGCACGTTTGTCATGCCAAGCGGACGGAAAGTGGAATGGATCCCTGCCAATGTGCAAGCCAGTGGTATGCCCTGAACTAGTTACACCGGCCTGGTCGAAGCGCAACAGCTCTAACTTCACGTTCGCCAGTGTGGTGCGGTTTCAGTGTGCACGTGGATTTGACGTAAGTGGATCGTCCTTGCTGGAGTGCATGTGGAACAGGCAGTGGACGTATCCAATGCCTCAGTGCACACCGGTGACGTGTGGTGACCTGAAGATCCCTACTAATGCACAGCTCGTCAGCATTAACTCATCATTTGCAGGAGTGGCAGTGTTGACATGTCGTGATGGATACCTGCTAGACAAAACGCTTACCCGGTGGCGGGTATTATGCCAGGCTAGTGGGCAATGGAGCAACATAACTGCACGGTGTGAAGGTGAGCTGTACTTGTAAATGGTGTCTACACTTGCGGCCTATTTGTAAATCTTTCCATCTGTATGTTGTGAGTGCTTGGTTGCGATGCAAATTATGGAATGATTGGTGATGGACTGTAGGAAGAGCTGGGAAAGAGATCAATAGCCAGGATGATGTTGGACTCGCTGCTCATTTCTCTCATGGCACGGTCACGCCTGTTATTCTTTCTTGTTGCTTGCTCCAACCAGGAATCAGTTGCGGTCATCCTGGGCGTAGGCCGTACATTCTTCAAACTGGCTATACATACAGCTACCCTCACACCGTGCAGTATGGGTGCCCAGCTGGATTTCACATGACTGGCCCTGCTAGAATCCACTGCAAATCGAATGGGTCCTGGGATAGTCCACCTCCGGCGTGCACCCCGATAAGCTGTGTGTTCCCTGCAACACCCGCTAATGCCAGGCTCGTGGCGCTCAACAAGACATTTGGTGGCATTGTGACGTATGCATGCCGGGACGGGTACGTGCAGTCGAGTGGATTGTCATCAGCGGTGTGTGGAGCGCATGGCAAGTGGGTGACCTCTAAAAGCATTGTGTGCACAGGTAAGATGGCATGGCCATGGATCAGTAGTTGCTAGTACTTGCTTTTGCAATATACTTCGGTCATTTAGAGCAGTGCATGTAAGAGCAATTTGCGTGAAACCAATGGCATGATCTTGTAGAGCTTTTCCTGGAGAACAGTGCCATGCAAGCTGCAACTGATCATGTCCTAACGGTCGCCAAGTATCATGCATGCACGGAAAACCTAGTCTCTTGTTCTCCACTACGTTGCTCTCCTTCAAGACTACAGTCGCACCTGCCTACATGCAAAGGCTCTGTTGCGGCCCTTGAGGTTTTTACAAGTAACTCATATGTCCACTTGTTTTGAATGTGCTTGAGGAACTTTTCCATTCAAATTCACTAGATGGAAGTCCCTACAAGTATCTTGCTGTTCCTACCCTGTGCGTGGTCTGTTTTTTTGCGTACCATGGGATCTGCTATATACAGGTATCTCATGTGGTCATCCCGGTCTAGCTGCCTATTCATCTCTGAACAGCAGTGTATTCCTGCATCCACATCATATCCGCTACACATGCGACCAAGGTCATTACCCTGTGGGTAGCAGCATTCTTGTCTGTCAGGCCAATGGCTCGTGGAGTTCCCGTGCGCCTGAATGTAAGCCAATCGAATGTCCAGATATCATTCCACCAGCTTGGATGCAGATCAGCAGCTCAAACTTCAGTTTTGGTAGCATAGTGGATTTCAGCTGTGCAAGAGGTTTCTTACTCAAAGGCCTAACATCACTGGAGTGCTTTTGGTCAGGTAGTTGGAGCGGCGCTATGCCTCAATGTGTTCCGATCAGATGTGGGGACGTACCAGCTTTGCAGAATACAGTTGTAATTAGTGTCAATGAGACATTCAGTGGGCTGGCTGTGTTTGCGTGTGTCCCTGGCTATGAGCTGGCTTTTCCCAGTCCCCGGCTAGTGTGTAGCGCCGATGGATATTGGACGAATTTCTCTGCAAACCCATGCAAAAGTAAGTTAAACTTTCCTCTGTCCTGCAACATACACTTAGGTTGTCTAATATTCTGCTGTGGTGTAGTTTGGTGGGCTGTTTTGAATCCGAACCCTATCTTAGTTGGTATGAGAAAGGGTGTGTTCTCAATTTTTACACCATGATCACACAAAGTAAATCTTTCCTCACACCGTCTCCCTTCCCCACCATTGAGAATCTCAGTTGTTGCCCAGTGTGTTTACACTTCGTGCACCCAGCAAATGGACTGCTCCACTCCAGCCTATTATTAAACTACATGACTTTGTGACACCACCACCACCACCCCCCCCCCCCTCGTGTAGCTTAAACTGTGTGCATGTGAGGTAAATGGCGACTTCATGGAAGGTTCTTACTAACATTCATCAGAAATGATATGAGACAATTTGTGGTGTTGCTGCAGGAGTTAGTTGTGGACAGCCAATTTTGCCTGACTATGTGCAAATAAAGCCAGGTGCTGGGTTTCTTTTCAACGATACGGCCGAGTATTTCTGCCCTAATGGCTTTGAGCTCACTGGTAGTCCGGAGTCAGTATGCCTGTCCAATAAATCATGGAGCTCGCCCGCACCCACTTGTCGCCCAAGTCAGTGCAAGCCTCTGCTATTAGTTTCTCCCATGCTGTTTGCCAACATCAACACGTCATTCATGGGCACTGCCTACCTGACTTGTGAGCCTGGCTACTCCGTTATCAATGGTGAGCAACCTCTTGTATGCTTGGCGAATGGTTCATGGTCAGTGTTGCCTGGAGTACAATGTCAAGGTAAGCTGGTGTGTGTTTTAACTTGCCCTTGACGACACCAAGTCTAGCTCATTGAAACAAGAGACATAATACATCCTGCCTCTCTAATCAATATCAACTGTGGGACACATCTTTTCTACGTCAGTTGTCATGCAACCCCGTCCTATTCATGTTTAGGATGCTACCCGGCGATGTTTGGATTATGATGGGCCAGCTCAGTGTTTGTAGTTTTGACACTCTGGCGCTGGCCAAATTACTTATGTCCACAATGTGTGACAGGTGAAATTTGTTTCTCATTCTTCATGGGACGATAAGCGCCAGTGGGGTTATTTTTCTGGTGTTGAATTTTCTCAGGCTGTGCTGCAACGTCATATGGCCTGAACTGCTCCAGGAAATGTCGCTGTCAGAACAATGCACACTGCAATCCGGTGAATGGGCACTGCGACTGCTCAACCGTGTCCGGATTTGTTGGGACATTCTGCGAAATCAGTAAGCTTGCATCATGGCTATGGCTTATATCTAGACTTGTATGTTCACTCGTTGCTGCTTGTGTGTGTGTGTGTGTGTGTGTGTGTGTGTGTGTGTGTGTGTGTGTGTGTGTGTGTGTGTGTGTGTGTGTGTGTGTGTGTGTGTGTGTGTAATGTGATGTTGCAGAATGATAGTTTAGGTTTGCACACATATTACTCTTGTGTTCAGTCTTTCATCTAGCTTTGCAAAGGCCTTCTTTGGGCTCTCTTAGCACTACCTATTCTCATACTTCAAAAGTAGTTTTTTTCTCTCAATCTGATACTGTAGTTCCTGGGCCAACGTTTATCCGGCACGTCGATGCCAGAATACAGCGATTGTATGGTGAGATTCGAACTAGTTACCCCCCCCCCCCCTCTCTCATGACTGTCTCTGCAGGTTGTCCAGTTGGGAGTCATGGTAAAAGTTGCAAGTCACAGTGCAGTTGCTACAATGGAGCTACGTGCAATGCGTCCGACGGCTCATGTACATGTCTGGACGGCTATCAAGACAGTGACTGTAGTCAAGGTATGGGTACAGTAATACACAATTCTGTCTCTTCATTATGATCATATGCTAGTAGATGTATATGCTGCCTTGCGATCTTGGAAGAGATCCATAGGCATGACCAGTGCAAGGATTCCTGTGTTCAGTCTCACAGAACTGATCACATGACAGGTCATCTTGACCACTGTGCATGCTGGAAGCCTGGTGGCATGCCTGTTGGACTGGGGCAGGTCATGTCTAGTTGCGTCAGCTGGTTTAGAAACTAGATTTAATTCCCCAGCACTGTTTAGGATGGAGGTTTTCATGGCTTTGAAATGTTCATATTTCACTTTGTTACCTACAGGTATTCCCTGTGGAAAGCCAGCTCAGCATCCCTACCTTCACACTCACGGAGAGCAGCATTCCTACCCGGCAAACGTGAACTTCTCCTGCGATCCTGGATTTATTCTCGCTGGCGAAAACACATCGCAATGCTTGGCCAATGGGTCCTGGAGTAGACCTTCACCGTCATGCGTGGCTGTGCGTTGTCCCGTGCTGGAAGTACCGGAGCATGCAACACTGTCCAGTGATAACCGCACTTTCACCAGCACGGTCTCAGTACAGTGTCTGTCAGGGTATGAACTGGACACCAGCTGGAATGTCAGCTGTATGTCCAATGCAGCATGGAGCAATCCACACCTGCCTCACTGTACACCAGTCCAGTGCAATGCTATTCAAGCTGCTGACCATTCAGAGATCGTACAGGCCAACTACACGTATCAGGGGATGCTGATGGTGCAATGCGTGCCTGGATATTACCACAAGGCTGGCAGTACGGCTAGGACGTGCCTGGCTAATCGGACATGGTCGGGACAGATTGTGCAGTGCGAGCGTGAGTGCAGATACAATAGCATGCCCTACTAGCTCATGTCCTGTTAACAGTATTCATGTTTACATTGATACAGTGCTTGCATGTAGCATGTAATACTTCAGAACTGTGAAGCCTGACATATTAATCCCTCGCTCTCTACTCGTATGAAGAGCTATGATTCTACATTCACCACGCTATCATGTTCTGGGAGAGAATTCACTACTTTCTCTGTGCTACTTACATGTATGGTATTTACAGCCATCGCCTCCAGTTAGTTCGCTGCCTTTTCTGTGTTTTTTTGTTGGCGCTCTGCTTATAGCCATCTCCTGTGGTCATCCCGGATCACCCCCATACTTGATTCGCCTCGGTGAAGTGTACACATATGGACAATGGCTGAATTACTCTTGTCCAATAGGATTTATTCTAGGCGGTCGCTCTTCGATACGCTGTGAAGCCTCGGGCCGGTGGAGTGCACCCATCCCGCGCTGCAATCCTCGCATCTGTGCTGTTCCGCCATCACTCAGCCACGCCGTGAGGGTGTCACTGAATCTGACATTCAACGGAACCGTGTCATATCGCTGCATGCCAGGATATCAAGCAAGGCACAGGGAAGCTTCCATCATGTGCTTATCAAACGCTACATGGAGTGTTTTGGACAACTGGACGTGTAGCCGTACGTTTGCTCGTGTTGCCTAAAAGGCATGGGAGACAGTGCTTTATATTTCATCTTAATTATTGATACTCAGTAGTCGCTGATGTACTCTGGTCATTTCATCAGGCAGTGGATTTTGCTGATGAAATTTTCTCCAATGTTTGGTACATTCCAATCAGTCTTGTCATGACCATATTTTGTAAAATGTGTCTAGAGTTGCTCTTCTCAATCGTGTGAGTCTGATTGGATCAGTCTCTCTGCAAGCACTCTTTCTTGTGTTCTTCTCCAGGTATTTCTTGTGGTGATCCAGGACTCACCGCCAACTCAAACCGAACTGCCTCTGGATTTGCTTTCCAGTCCACGGTGAACTACTCATGCCATCCTGGTTATGATCTGCATGGTTATGCGTCTCTGCTGTGCTTGTCATCCGGCCGATGGAGCAAGCTTCCACCCACCTGCAAGCCGGTAGAGTGTCCCTTCCTGTTGGCGCCACCGTACGCTACACTTCATGGCTCCAATTTCACATTCAAGAGCTTGGTGCGTGTAAAGTGTGCTGCGGGATTCACTCTTGTTGGACTGTCTCAGTTGCGGTGTGAGGCTACTGCTTCCTGGAGTCGTGAGCTACCCAGGTGTTTGCCAAACAAATGTCCAATCCTGTCTGCAGCACACAACATGGTAATCTTGAAGCAGAATAACTCATACTTGGGTCACTGGAAAGGACAATGTGTTCAGGGCTATACATTGCTCGGTGGTGATGAGATTCGTGAATGCTTGCCGAACGGATCCTGGTCTGGTGCAGAGATGGTATGCACAGGTAATGCACTTCCTCGTAACCTTGCTCTTGCATCTCTCTAGCTCTCCGTATTTCTCTCTGTCTCTCTCTCTGTCTCTCTGTCTATCTCTGTCTCTGTCTCTCTCTGTCTCTCTGTCTGTCTGTCTCTCTCTCTCTCTCTCTCTCTCTCTCTCTCTCTCTCTCTCTCTCTCTCTCTCTCCCTGCCTCCCTCCCTCTCTCTCCCTCTCCCTCCCTCCCTTCCCCCCCCCTCTCTCTCTCTCTCTCTCTCTCTCTCTCTCTCTCTCTCTCTCTCTCTCCCTCTCCCCCCCCCTCTCTCTCTCTCTCTCTCTCTCTCTCTCCATGTGTGTTGGTGATGAGGCCACAACATTGACTATGGTCATTTCCTTTTGTTGTTTGCTTTCTCAAGCTGTGTCCTGCGGCAGACCTGGTGAAGTGGTGTATGGTGCTAGTGTGGGTACAAATTGGACATATCCGAACTCTATTAGCTTCTCGTGTCAGCAAGGATTCATTCTACAGGGCAAATCCATCAGCACCTGCCAGTCTAGTGGAATGTGGAGCTCTAAACCACCCGCTTGCATTCCTGTCAACTGCACCTCACTAAGCAAGCCAGCCTACGGTTTTCTCCTGGGTTCAAATCATTCACTCAATGCCAGCATTGTGTTCTCCTGTCAGTCTGGCTATATACTCAGTGGTCCGAGTGTGTTACGCTGCCTGTGGACTCAGCAATGGAACGACAGTACACCGTCGTGCAGTCCTGTGCAATGCCCAGTTATTCAAGGCCCGCCGTTCGCCACGCTGCTGTCAATGAACAAAACCTTCAAGGGACTTGCTCGGTTCGCCTGTGTGAGGGGTTTTGTGCACACCAATGGCAGCTCGGAACGTCAATGTCAAGCCGACAAAACTTGGGATCGTGCCAGTATGCAATGCTCAGGTATAATTTTAATATATGCATGTACTACGCATCATCTACATGTTTCAGGGTACAAGGATGGGGTGACTGAGGTGCTCTTTCATCTTAGCTGTACTGTCTCCACTAAAGAGATGTCCCAAAATATCAACCAGGGAGATGTAATACAACGATATTCTCTTGCGTGCATGATGACCAAAATAAGGGAGCGGAGAACAGAGTTCATTGATTACACACTACACATTGGCATTTATGGAAGTTCGCTCGCGTACCAGACGTAGGCGTGAATAATTGGCTAAGTACTACTTTGTCTATTGTTGTCAGTCCCTTGTCAAATAACACCTTTATATAGGTGTAATGTTCAATCAGATGTTGTATTTCTCGCAGGCCGAGGGCAGCGAAATTGCACATCTGGCTGCGGCCAACTACCCTTCAATTTGGGTGCTGTTGCTATTGCTGTCTACTAATATGTCTCTGTATCTGCCAGTATATGTGGAGCGAGAATGTGCCATGCTTTAAGTTCTGTAGTTGCTGTTCTTCTTCTGTGTACATGTACTATGCAGCCAAGGTATGTCCAGTACCCACTGCCGGCCACTATCTCATTCAGCATGGTGTCAACTACTCCTACAATGCTACCGTATCCTACACCTGTCCGACTGGATTCAATTTGCTGGGCAATGCGAGCCAGCGATGTCTTGACACTGCGGAATGGAGCTCACAGATGCCGGTGTGCACACAGAAGATGTGCACTGTGCCCAGTCTGCCTGCACATATGCATATTGTCACACTGAACACTACATTCAATGGAACCGCCATGCTTGCCTGTGACAGTGGATATCATACAACCAATAGTGGCTCTACTCTGCTGCTGCTGCTGCACTGCACGGAGAACACCACCTGGACTGGCCTTGGAACTGGTATCAGTTGCCTCGGTAAGACATAATCTTGGAGTCAGTACAACCCATATCTTACGTCCAACTGCCATGCTATTGCCACAACAAAAACTTTCAAGATAATCGTAATGAGCCTGAAGTGTGTCCTTTTTATGAGTATTATCGCATTTTTGTCTCAGAGGAAACTGTTTACAGAGAAGGTGCTATCAGATTTATAGCGAGAGAGTAATCATTGTGTTTCCATTTTACTTGAGTTTCATCACAGTATAAGTATCGCAGGGTCTCGTTCAAGTTTTACTCTTCTCGCCAGGTTTGTGTGTCTACATTCATGCACATGTGTATATGTTGTGTTTGTGTATGGTGTCTACCAGAATGTGGCGATGGCTGGTTTGGCCAGGGCTGCCAGCATCCATGTCAGTGCAAGAACGGTGCGCAGTGTGATCACGTACATGGGCACTGCAACTGCAGCTCGGTGACAGGCTTCTCGGGCACGTTTTGTGAATCCGGTAGGTACCGTGTGACAACATTCACTGTCATGATGAGTTTCAACAGAGTTCCTGCGCATGTACATTGACTTCGTTATTGCATTCTCAACAAATTCAGAACCCTTTCTTTAGATGTATAGATGATAATATAATGCCAAATAAGCGCTCGAAAAGTTGAGAGGGCATGCGATTGATGCGCCCAGGCTTAGCTTGTCAAGTGCACGGGATGTGCAAAGTACACGGATTTTAGGCTTGTTGCGCGCTTACGCGATCAGGTGCTGCACGTGCATGAATGGAATGCATGCAGTTCCAATCCACTGTTACTGCATTTTAGCATTCCGTCGGAGAAAATTTTCGGATGAAGAAAGGAACTCTGACACCTTTGTGCATAGTTTGCTTTCAATTTTTCATTTTAATACCCAGATATGGCAGCGAGAAATAGTACACCAGCCATAGCTTCTCGTTTTGCGAACCCACCTGTCAGCGAAACAATTGCTAGATGGACTTTTGCTCAGCTGAAGACGTACATGTACGTGAGGGAGAGATACCGCCAGATGGAAAGCGAGATGATTTGTTGCAGAGGTAAGACCGAAAGATTTTTTTATATTCCCAACGCCCCAGAGCTTAGCCTTAGGACGGGGGACAATGATGGCAGTCGGCTCCGAGCAGCGAAAGGGCGATGAAAATCCGTTCCACCTTCACTGGTCGCTACAGCAGCGAATACCTTGACACCATCTGCATCGGGAACAGAAGAAGCTGCTTCTCCGCTGAATCCAATAGATGCTGCTCACCAAACAGACGCAGAATTTCCCACCGAGGCCGCCTGGAGCCATCGCTCGGAGGATTTGCTAGGTGGTGTTTCTGCTAGTGCTGTACTCCAGCATCTTCAGAATCGAGAAAGGTACCTAGCGACACAGAAACCATTCGGGGATGAGTCTTTCTTGTCGCCATTCGTTTACAGTGTTGAGTTTTGCTTCCCAGAGCCAAAGAATTCTGGACCGCAGAGATACTTTGTCAAGGCTATGTGTTGGGCATCTCAAAAGAAGAAGGAGAGCTAAGTGTGTGCTACAGTGCTAAAAGAAAAGCATGGACTCGAAGTGATGTCTGCATATTGCACTTGCACTGCAGCATTGCATGCTCCTTCCACCACATCGTTGCATTGCTGCTGACCCTCAACTATTGTGAGATGAAAGGTCAATACCTGGCATATGCAACCTAGCAACAACAGCAATGGGGCACAAGGGCCAAGGAACGTAGTTGGGAAAACCCTTATCAACCACCTGGGCATACTGACACTGGCAACATTGATTTGACTTTGTCCTTGGAAATCCCGCCTTCCCTATCCCACATCACAGAGAAGGTGCTCCTAACAGAGGCAATAGCAATAGAGCGCCATACCCAACAGCAGATTGGCAGCGGCATATGGCATAGGCTGAGAAGCAAGACCCTGACTGCTTCGCGGTTTCACCTCATCCCTCACCCGAGTGAGATCACATCAGCGTTTCTTTCCCGGCGTCATTGCTCCAGGCAACCAGTTTCTCATGTGCTTCCGCTATTCGTCAGGGCCAGCACAAATAGAGTTGTTCTATTTTTGTTGTATTTATCATTCTACTAGGGCCATCCCTGCAGACAATGCACCTTCTTACAGGGTGCTCGAGGTAAGTGGGAAATGGCGTATTGCAAAAGAGGTTACGTAGAAGGTAGTTAGTTATAAGAACTTATAACATAACAGCCTTCTACGCAGCCTCTGCGGCATGACGAAGGAGGCTGCCTAGCAGCACCCCGATGGAAGAAAACTCCAGCTATCACTGCTATCAGAGACCAGGTACCTGTATGTTTTGCAAAGAGAAGCCATGTCGTGAAGAAGCATTAGGTAGGGCTAAAGCGAGGGTGTACTATCCCCTCAGCAGGCCTGGTCAAGGCTTCCGTAGCCAGCGTAGGGTGAATATTGGACCTAAAAACAAAGGAAACTCTGCAAAGAGGGGGCTGTGGTGCTAAGGCATGGCAGCCATGCACACATTTATAAAACAAGGCAAAATAATCATAAAGTTTTAACGCATGGCGACGGGAATATTTTTGTGGCGGTGACAAATGGTGGCTGCTGGGTAGCCAAATGTTATCTTGAGACTCCGCTTGAAACGTCGCATGACTGTGTTGTGCAAGGTTACTGATGTGATGCCCTGTCTTTGAATCGGGATACCAGAACTCCAAACATGCGACTGTTAGTCATTTCGCTCAATTTTGCTACTTTACTCTTGCAGTCACCCAGATTGTATTGAATACTGTCGAATGCTTCCTCCAGCGTAGGGACAGTATGCCTGGGATATCTCTAGGTATGAGTCGTATGTCTTCAGGCAGCTCCCGTGCAGTAGCTCACGACACGAGGTAGAGCGACGCCAGTTAGCATCAGCCGCTGTTGTCTTGGCGGACCAGATTGAAAACTCCAGATACAAAATGTTTTACCAGTCTTGCTCTGGCGATTTTCTCGCCTTGTACATAATCTTCTGGCAAGAAATGGTCAGATCACACCACTGTAGTGTCACTTTCTTTTGCTCTCCTTGCCTTTCCTCCCGTCGAATAGCAACAGTCCATTTCCTTCACAGTTCAGGATGATGGAAATTTATGGAAAAGACGACTACCATTAATTTTGCTGGGGCTGGGGAGTCACGGCGACAACCAGTACATCCTGGAACACAGCAATGGTCGTGGTTCGTCGGCATCCGAAAACAAGACAGCGAAAAATCACTCCAGCCGCTATAAAGCAAGCAAAACTGTTTCTTCCATCCAGATTTACAGCTTTAGTTCTTCATTAATAATCTCAACGCCGAAGGAAGTGCTAAAACTAGTAACGGTGGAACTGCATGCATTCCATTCATGCACGTGCAGCACCTGATCGCGTAAGCGCGCAACAAGCCTAAAATCCGTGTACTTTGCACATCCCGTGCACTTGACAAGCTAAGCCAGGGCGCATCAATCGCATGCCCTCTCAACTTTTCGAGGGCTTATTTGGCATATCATCTATTGTATTTACAGTGGTATTCCTTTGTTTCGGCCTCAACGCCTTGTATCACTTTTCTTACTCTAATATGCATGGCTTCTTTCGTCTTTTAGTCTAGAAACACATGATGCAACTGCTTGTCTATACCTCTTTCTTCCCTTTCATGCACCTTGTAGCTCCCATCAGCATTCATATCCAACCCTGTTGATCCTGGTAATACTTTGATTCCTTGGCGTCGCATTTGCTTTCTAATTCCGTTCCATTTTGGGCTTGTGTACGTGTGTGTATGCTCGTGAATGCCCATGCTTTTTTTTCCTTTCTGTGTGTAGAGTGCTCAACTGGTTTCCACGGTCATGGCTGCCAAGTGTCTTGCTCCTGCAAGAACAATGCTGCGTGTCACCCGGCAGATGGCTTCTGCGAATGTTCGCTGGGATTTCAGGGAACAGACTGTTCACTGGGTAAGAGCACACGCACGTTTTAAATCCATGCTATGTACAAGTTGTGCTTATGCATTGGCACTGGAAGGTATTTAGGGTGGTATGGTCAATCATGCAAGACAAGCCTCAGAAATTTGAAAGAATGTTTTTAAGTTAATAAAGGCACCTAACATCTTCGGAGAATGTGGTTTACCTGTTCAAAGCAACAAACCCAGCCAGTTTCCTAGATCTTTCTTGCAGATAAAATCAGGGGCTGGATTTCATTTCCCACCGCTGTACATGTATTATTCCGGGTGTTTGCTGACGTCATGAGTTTGCTCTGGAACGGACATGAAAACTTACTTTTTACTTCTTTACATGTACATGTAAGTAAAGGAGCGCCACTTCTACCCAGATTAAAAGGACTGCTGGTGTTCTCGCTCTTTCTTGTTCAGATATCGATGAGTGTAACGAAGTGGTCGGTGTGTGCCACACACATGCAACCTGTAGAAACAGCATTGGTTCCTACGCGTGTACTTGCCAAGCTGGATACAATGGGAATGGAACAGCATGTCGAGGTAAGATGCAACATGCTGTCATACGAGCAAAAAGAGTGCTTCATTTTTTGTAAGAACACATTGCGAAAAGCATCAATGTTTGTAGGACTTATAATGTAAACATCAAGTATTATCATTGTATAAATGGACTGTATGCAGTGTTGTGTTCCGCTGTGGAATGCTAGCCTTGGAGATCGTGACAGTTCTTGGAACCACATGTAAAGTACTATGAACAGAGCAATAAGGATCGCAGCAACATCGACTGGTTGAAAGGCAAAGTTTATATTCGTTTTGCTGATAATCTAAAATCATGAATTTGCGTTCTGGGGTCTTGTTGTTTTCAGCTTTGGACTGTGGCAATCCCGGAAGCATTCACTACGGCATAACCACTGGCAGCCACTTCAGTTATCCACACAACGTTACCTATACGTGTGTGAATGGCTTCTTACCGTCAGCACCGATCACACTGCACTGTAGCAATGCTGGTGTTTGGAGTGCGCAGCCACCAGTGTGCAGGCCAGTGACATGCCGTGAGCTGACAGCACCACACTGGGGAGCAATGAACACCAGTAACCGTACACTCTCAGCATCTGTGGAGTTTAGCTGCGCGGCCGGCTTCCTACTGGACGGCGTACGCACGCTGACATGCCAACCTTCAGCTCAATGGAGCGGCACTGAGCCGCGCTGTCAGCCCATAGACTGTGGTGCACTGGCGGATGTACAACACTCCACTGTACTACATGTCAATACAACGTATACAGGATACTGGCGTGCTGCATGTGATCCCGGTTATCGGCTTGTGTCCGGCAACAGCCGAAGGACGTGCATATCCGATGGCTCTTGGTCTGGGTCTGCACCCATTTGTGAAGGTAAATGCATGTACTGGGATGGCATGGGGTCAAACTTTTCCTGTGTTGGTCTGAGCATAGATACTATAGATGTGGAATGTGTCTCAAACAATGGAGCTAAGCGATGCATCTTCTACAGCAAAGCACTGTATTACCTTGTGAGACTGCAAACTGTATTTTGAATAGTCATGTGATATGGTGTAGTATCCAATTTCAGGGCTCGTACTTGTACAGAAACACGTGGGCGCCATTTTGGTTCACGTGACATGTGTCACACCATGCTGTGTACAGGGAATCTTGCCGTACTTCGCGTCGACTCTGGCCTGTTCAAATCCACGCAAGTGAGCCCCAGTTCTCTCTAGCAGGCTGAGATTTTGCAGGCACCGAGTTCAGATGTGGGCAAAGGGATTCACCGAAGGATTTTTTGATTTTCGCAATTTAGACCTCAAATAACACCCTCAAACTCGGTAAAGGTGTCCCACCTCTAGGATCGTTTTGGAGAAATTCGCTTCAGGCAAAGTATGGAGCATCTCCTACTGAAAATTTTGAGCCATCGATTGTCAAAATCGGCTCATGTGGAGCTCACTTGTGTCGTTTTGAAGGACGCCGTGCCACGCGCGATTTGCGCTGGTTCTTTCACAAACGGAAGACACCTTTCAGGCAGAACTGCAGACTGTGACATGTCGACAGTGCAGTGCGCACGGCAAGGAAAAGAAGGAGACGTGCATTTCCATATTTTGCACGGTGTCCTTTGCTTTTATTGTTCACTGATAACATGTTCGCAAAATCTTGAGCTAGAGAGAAGACTGATTTACAATCTGATTCATCTAGGCTTCAGCGTGATGCACGTATCCAGACCATAGGAAATATTGGGAAAGGAACCGGGAACCACGAGAATAATTTTCTGGAGCGAATCCAATTATTACCATGGTTCCTTGTTCTTGAACACCGCGCTCCACATCGTCAATGTTCTGCGAGGTAACTTAGGATTTCAGGACTACTGTCGGTTTGTTCGTCCTCGGGGCGATCTGATCTACGTCCAGCTGGCCATGATACTGAGCCGAACTGGCCACTAGTTCGCTTCTTTCTCGACTCGGGATAATCAAGCCGGTCAGAGTGCGACTTTTTCCTACCCTGGATGCGACCCATGGCGCGGACTGACTACTGAACACCTCCTTGTACAAGCACTGACATACAAGACCGGTGGTGGATACAAACTGACAACAGGAAACCCTAAAAGCACCCGCTCTGTCAAAGAAAGTCGAAGGGAAGCAATTCGAACTAGTTCAAGCACCACCAAAAAATAAAAACTAGCACTTGCTCTTGCAGCTAGCTAGATCAAAGACTGCACTGGCAAGTACACTTTTGCGCAGTCGCGATCTCGCGGCCCCGCATCACGTGCGGGTATCTGATGACGTAGAGTGATTCAAGATGGCCTCTGACGTGTTTCCCGTTTTGTGATCCCAAATACCAGCCCTGAATTTGACTGTCTTGATTGCCTTGTTTCGCTCTGCAGCTGTTGACTGTGGTCACCCTGGGACGCCAGTACATGCAACATCGAGCGGCTCAGTGTACACTTACAGGCACAATGTCACCTTTAGCTGTGCACAGGGCTTCGTTCTTGTGGGCAAAGCTAGCATCACCTGTACATACAATGGAACATGGGATTCACCACTGCCACACTGTGCACCAGTGAACTGCACTGCCCTTCAGGCGCCCACGTACGGTATGATCAGCCATACAAACTGGACATATACCAGCACAGTATTGCTCTCCTGCCTCCCTGGGTTTCACCTGCATGGCACCACTCCTGTCACATGCCTTGCTAATGGTCACTGGAATGGTAGTGTAGCAAGCTGCATTCCACTAAACTGCTCCCTGCCAGTGGCACCGCAGCATGGGTACATTGTGAAAGCGAACACATCGTTCCAAGGCTCTGTGTACTACGCCTGTACGAGCGGGTATGTTGGTGTTGCCGGTAGTGCAATACAGATGTGCACAGTCAGTGGATCATGGGACAGCATGCCTCTCGAGTGCGATGGTGAGTAGCGGACACACTCTGACTGTTTGTGCATGTCTCCGAGTATGGCCTGTGTGTATGCGGTGAAGTATTATTGTTACTTTATTTTACTTCACCAGAATCACAGGCAGTAGAATGCCTTCTCACTAGACCAGGTCTAGTTCTCACAAATGATGAAGAATGTGAATGAACGTGCTGAAGCTAATGAAAAACTAGAAATAGAAAAAGATGAGAAAAATTGTGTTTTATATTTTATGACGGTATTTGTATCATGGTCTTGGATGGCATTTCTTCCTGTTTCTGGCCACTGGTGATGTGATCCCTGTGTAAGCCGGCAACATTTGCACAACAGACAGGTTGCTGGATTAGCAAATCTGTACGTGTATATTGCTTTAGTGTGCATGCATTGAGATAATTTGGTTGCTGAAAATTGTGCTGGTTTGTCGTGGCTGCTGGCTTGTAAAATTCTGTGTTGATGAGAGATGACTGTGGTCATATTCTGGCTACTCTTGTTCTACACCTTCTGTGATCATTGTTTGTGTTGTCTTGCCTAGACTTGCTTTGCTATCATGTACATTTCTCCATGTGTAGGAATCCACTGTGGAGATCCAGGACTTGGCCCATATCTCCTGCGCTCGGTGACATCATTCAAGTACCCAGGCACAGTGGCCTTCTCGTGTCCAGTCGGTTTCAACCTGCACGGGGTGTCGGTGGCGAGATGCTCAGCCAGTGGAACCTGGAATGCAGCACTGCCGCACTGTACACCGCTGAAGTGCCCTGTACCTACGATCAGTGAACATGCTCATATTGTCTCTGTCAATGCTACGTTCAATGGGTCCCTGCAGCTTGCTTGTGATCCTGGCTATGTACTGAATGAGCAACAGAGAGGACGCTTCCGATGCGATTCAAGTGCCGCGTGGTTACCAGATGTTTCCAAGTTTAACTGTGATGGTATGTACTGGGATGGATTTACCATTATGATATTATTTGTGTGCTTTTAAAATAATATTGTCCAGTCTTTTCGAGCTTGGGTCTGATATTGTTTCAAGGATTTTCTTCACGTTCTTGCTTGAGCAACTTTCAACAGAATCATTCTTGTCAAAGTGGCCTGATTGCTCAGTATTGATCAGGAATGGTGGATTGGAAATCTGATACCTTGATAGAGTACAGCTTTGTGATACTGCTCATGAAAGTTTAGGAGTAAAATGGTCAAACTTTCATACTGTAAGTTGACAAATATTGGGCGCATATCTATTTTCGGCTATTTTCGTCCTGGTCATGTTTGGCCGAAAATTTGTTGTGGCCGAAATTTTGTTTTGCAAGGTTCAGTGTGACAGTGTATACAGGCGGCAGCAGTACTGGCCGAAAATTTGATGCGGCCGAAATGGGTTTCAGCCCCGAGATGCCGAAATTTGAATGGGCCGACAATTTGTAGACTTACAGTAATCAATTCTCTTGTTTTCTCACGCTGTCGTTTTACTTCAGAGTGTCCATCTGGTTGGTTTGGCACCGACTGTGCACAGCCATGTCAGTGTCAGAACGGTGCACCTTGTGATCACATTACTGGCCATTGCCAGTGTGAGTACGTGGCTGGCTACATGGGGGCATTCTGTCAGCACGGTAAGACGAAACAGAACGTGCAATGATGTACTTCCTCCGCGTCATCGAAATTGTCGCAGTTTCACTAGTGACTTGTCACTTGTTACCGACAACTCCATAAGCTAAACAATACAAAAATTATTACACAGGATGATAGTCTGAAGTCTAGAGTAACGTTCCAGGACAGTTGGACTGAGAGTTTCACACGGAGACGAAGGCCTCATCGTCGCTGATGTCAAAGGACGAAAACATATCGTTCCGCAAATTTTCCAGGAAGGTTGTAAGTTGGTCGCGCCTCATCTCAACCGCTTTGACTTTATCCACAAACTGCGACAATTTTGATGACGTGGAGGAAGTAACCAATGTCATTCTGTACATCACCACCTAGATCATGATGCAATCAACAGCTCTTGTGATGTCATTGTATCATTGAACATAGATGTGTTAGTCCACAGGATTTGTTTTGCTACATTTAAATGATTTTTGTTTGCGTCATTGCAGATTGTGCCCAGGGCCAACATGGCTATGGCTGCAACTCCAGCTGCCTTTGCCAGAATAATGCAGAGTGTAACCCCAAGGATGGCTCTTGCAACTGTACAGCGGGATTTGAAGGAAGTGACTGCAGTATTGGTTAGTATTGCCTGTCCACTGCTGTGCACAGTGTTCAGGATAGGAGCTAAAAGGTTTCATTTCTGAAAAGAGATGGAGGTACTCGTAGTCGACCAGGTTTACTTGTAGTGACATGACCAAATCGTCCAGCATTGCAAAGCCCAGCTATGAAGGAGCTCAACTCTCTAGCTGATCTTTTTGCCCAGTCCTTGTTTTGTCACTCTGTATTTCTTTTAGATCCTGATGTGTGTCTTAGGGTGTTTGGCGATCAGGCCCGTAGCTTGTCGTGATGAATGAATGCGAACATGAGTAATGTGTGCAGTGATCTTGCTGATATCCCCGTGGATGCGGGAAAGATCACATTTCAGGAACGCTAGCTGTGAAATATGTATGTGTATGGTACGATTTTGTATGACATCATATCATCACGTACATGATGTCATAGTGTGATTTGTTTTCACTGAACTCTGCAGATACTGATGAATGTATGGGATTGCTGCATATGTGTAGCCAGCATGCACTCTGCAAGAATACGTACGGATCTTTCCAATGTACCTGTTTAATTGGCTACATTGGTGATGGCCATAGCTGTGCAGGCAAGTAAGATAACTACAGTACTGCTCAATGAAATCCAAACGAGTCACTCAAGTACTCACCGGCATTGCGCAACCCTAGACCTGCGAACACTGGGCTGCGAAATGGTGCAAGGCACAAACTTGACCCACATGATCGGATTTCATTGAGCAGCGTTCTAACTTTGCTTGACTCATTGAGAGCTCCTGATGTTTGTGATTGGAGTACCATACTGAACGATCACCGGGGGACAAAAATGGAAGTGGAAAGGGCAATGCGTAGAATTGCACGTCCCTCGTGAATTGTGCAGATGAAAAAAAACACTTGTGCGGCTATTTATTTGTTGTTTTCCGCAGGGGTCGACTGCGGAGATCCAGGCACCGTGCCTCATGCAAGTGTCACTGGTATCAACTTCTCCTATCCATCCGCAGTGCTGTACACCTGCAATACTGGGTATCTTCCACGCGATGAAGTGGTTCTGACCTGTTTATCGTCTGGTCACTGGGACACTTCACAACCGGTGTGTATGCCTATCCAGTGTCAAGAAATCACTGCACCGGTATGGAGTGATCACACGGGATCACTGCCTAGAGCCTATGGAAGTACGGTTGTGTTATCGTGTCAAGCTGGCTTTAACCTGGTGGGCGTTTCTAGCCTGACATGCCAGGCCGATGGTGTGTGGAGTGCCCGGGTGCCTTACTGCACTGCTGTCACCTGCCCGCTTCTCACCACTCCGCCTGGATCTGAGCAAGTCTCCGTGAACAGGACCTACACTGGGCATGCTGTGTACAGATGTCTGCACGGCTATGAGAAGGTGAATGGCTCGGCAAGGAGAGTGTGCAAGCACGATGGTCAGTGGAGTGGTTCCGATCTTCTGTGTCAGGGTAAGGTTGATAGTGCCTTTCAATGTTGTGGCACCTAGGCGTAATTTCACCAAGTATTATTCTGTTGTAGTGCTGCCTGATGAGTGTTTCTCAGATGTAATTCCGAGTAATGGCAAAGAAGACTTGTTTGCACTTCGGTGCCCGGAGCGGGGTCAAAACTAGGTGCTGATGGTGTGTCGGAGGTATCAGGCGCGAAGGCGCGCATACCGTCAATCCGCGCGTAGGGCGAGGTCAAAGCCCTACCCGAGCGGCGGGTAGCCTCGACGGCATATCCGCATCCGCGTCCACATCTGCTTCCTCGTACAGAGCCTCGTGGCATGGTGAAAGAAAGAGAAACTACGAAATCTTTGAAGAGAGTCACCAGTCAGCCATGCAAATCTGAGCAGGAAGCAAACTGTGAAGTGTCCGGCGCTGCGCATGCGCCTTCTGTGTTAACTTATTTTTGCGAGCTCTCAAAAATTCATTTAAGATCTGGCTTCAGCCACCACTCCCACCCACGCTCATAAGTCCGGTCTTTCGATGCAGGTGATCTCTGAAATCGGGTCGACCCTTGACCCGGTCCCCTCAAAGAAACTGGACAAATTGTCCTATGGGAAAAATCATCCAAAAGTGTGCCTCATAATGGCGCCCGAAGGGAGAAGGAAGGGTAGCAAGAATGGCACTCCTCCAAAAAATCCTCATCTAGCCCAAGTGTCGGCTTATCATTAGTATATTTTTGAATTTGACAATTTCCTGATGATATTCTATTTCGGTTGACTATGAGTAGTGACCACAGCAAAGTCGATTTGTTGACGCCCAGCGTTTGTATTCGCGTTGCAGACAGTGTCCGAGCTTCCAAGTATGCCTAGCGACTTTGGAACATGGCAGGACATTATGTTAGAGCAACACCTATTCCTTATTGCGTACCCTGTAAAGAGGAAGACATTGATACTATACCACCATACCTTACACGTGCAAACAAGCCCAATAATTGTTTCCTAGAATTTTATCTTGTTCACTTGCTAAGCGCTGCTGTAATTCTGGTATGGCGTAACAAAGAGGGGATGGAGGGAAAGAGAAAACAACTGTTCGCTATGATACATATAGACTCCAAAGGGATTTTCAAAATTCCCGATGTGTTTGATGTGCCACTCTGCTCCTGACACGACAGCAATCTATTGGAGGAATGCTTTCTTTTCTATGACTTTGTCCTCCTTGATTTGTATGCAGAGGTGTCCTGCGGAGATCCAGGCACTGTGCCAAATGCAATCATGGCTGGTCAAACGTTTTCCTATGGCGATATCATAAGCTACAGCTGCACTCCTGGCTACTATCTCTTTGGAGCATCACAGATGTCATGCCAACTGAATGCGCAATGGTCGGACAGCGCTCCGCAATGCTTGCCTATATCCTGTGCTAGCATATCTGCTCCGGTGCATGGCTGGATGTCCAGTGCGGCGCAGGTACTAGGCACGAGTGTTCAGTTCAGCTGCGATGCCGGCTACGTGTTGAACGGATCTACATCAGTGCAATGCTTGACTACAGGGCAGTGGAGTGACAGAGCACCGCGATGTGACCCGTTGAAGTGCCAGGCCCCGTCTACACCTGCACATGCCACAGTCCTGACAGCGGACACGTCGTTCGAAGGGCATGTACGCTACACATGCCAGAATGGTTATGAGCATACTGCTGGTGATCTGTACAGACAATGCAATGCAAGTGCACTATGGACTGGTAGTCAACCAACCTGTACAGGTATGGAACAGTAACTAGTCACTAACTACTAGTCATGCAGCCTTTGATTGTGTCTATTTTTATATCTTCTCCTGCATTCTCTACATGAAATTACTCTACTACTAATTTCAGAGGTCACACAAAGTCACCTCCCAAACCCCATTTAGCCTTGACTGAATTATCTTCCAAAGAAATTGAAATCTCGGTATTTGAGTAGCAACAAAGTCCAAACTCCTCATATACGATATATGGACGTGCTAAGCTTGATAACTATTGTCTGAGCGCACCCATGACTGAGTTTGATTGCTGAGAGCGCCATCATCTGCTACGTAAAAAATTAATATGGTCTGCCTGCAACAGTTCCTCATAGTACTACTTGAAGTCCATGTGCACGTGCAGAGAATGGTATGGTACAGCCTCTCAGATTTGCATGGCATGAAGCAAGCAGAACAGCTGTGAGCAGACAAGGTAGAAATGGAATGTTAGCTGCATTCTGGCAAAAACTGTTTTTGCATGAAGGTCACCTTCAACTATCTGTTTTTCAGAGGTCACAAATATGCATGGACATTATACATTTTCCGGCACTGATCACTGTACTCGTGAAATAGGGTTTAAGCTCACCTCTTGTCGCTTTGGATTCTGCACTGTTGTTTTTCTTAGCAAAGAAATGTTTGACATTGAAGCTACCACCTTACGTGAATACAGACACATCGGTGAATTCAGCTTTGCCATATCCGACCGTAGTCCACTTCGCATGTCCACTAGGTTTCACACTGTCCGGTAGCAACACCGCGACGTGTACAGATGCAGGAGTGTGGAGTGCACAGCCACCAGTGTGCGATGTTCTCCTGTGCACCATGCCGACAATGGACTCCACCTTACTGGTGACTAGCGTGAACTTGTCATTCAATGGCACACTGCACATGACGTGTAGAAACGGATACGTGCCCGTTGCTGCTGCTGCTGCCACCGTGCATGCTGCCATTCTAACATGCAGCGCCGATAACACCTGGTTACCCACGGAACGACTACGCTGCGAAGGTTAGTCAATTTCGAAATAACGATATGGCTCTTGGTGCATAAGTAATTTGCAAATTGAATCAATGAAGCGGCTTAAAGAATTCAAACGCACCTTGAATAGAGATATTCCACCAAATACTCTGTTGTAATATCATGTGCACTACTGTGCAAGCACAAAGCCAAAGTATTCTTACTCCTCTCTAAGTAGAGCCAAAAGCGTCCAACCTGGCAGTTTTAGATCTCCGGTCTCGTTTCAGCCGAACCGTGTGTGGCAAAGAGTTAAGCACAGTGTCGTGCTTGATTCACCCTTTGATGACCTGGGCTGACACCAGCGATGACACAATGTAATTATTGACTGTGCAGCTTGTGTTGTGTGCCTTTGCCCACTACCTGGCAGATGCTGATGAATGTGTGCTGCATACACATGACTGTGATTGGCATGGCAAGTGCCAGAACACCATTGCATCGTACTTGTGTAGCTGCAACCAAGGCTACCAGGGGAATGGAACCCACTGCCAAGGTAATCGCACATCCAGCACACTTGTTTCTGTGAGAAATGCGCGCAACTTAGAAGCTTGTGGAGTTCTCTTTGATAGTATACTGTAAGGTTTATGACATACCGGTATGTGTGTAGTGCATGTTGAGCTGAAGAGGGCAGCCAGCAGACATTATTTGCCAATTCCCTATTCACCATATCCGCACTGATAATGCTGCTCCCAGCTGCCTACATTAGATGCTAGCAACTCAATTGCAGAGCAGGGATAGAGAGGGTACTAACCCATGGTCATCCATCAATAGGTTTCTTATCTTCATTGTGATATCTCCACTGTTATATAAATTTTTCTTCAGCTATCAGCTGTGGCGATCCAGGAAACCCGTGGCATGCTAGTCGATTCGGCTCATCCTTCACCTACGAGTCCTCCGTCAGTTTCTCGTGCTCGCTCGGCTTTATCCTGGTTGGCGTGAGGGAGCTGGTATGCCTTGCTAACGGCCATTGGAGTGCGACATCTCCGCGATGTCAGCCAGTTCAGTGCCCGGTGTTGAAGCTGCGTGACTACTCCACCATGAACAGCACTAACACATCATACACCACCACCGTCAAGGTGTCCTGTATGATTGGCTTCAATATGCTGGGCACCGGGCTGCTCACATGTCGCTCGGACGCCCAGTGGAGCAGCACACTGCCACAGTGCATCCCGGTGCAGTGTTCCATGCTGGTGGCACCAGGCAATTCCTACTTCATCTCCATGAACACATCATTCCTAGGTATCACCATACAGGCATGCCTGCAGCACTACAAGCACACCAGCGGCAGTGTGTCACGTTTGTGTAGATCCACTGGCCAGTGGAGTGGCACACCAATCGAGTGTGAAGGTATGTATTAAAAATGATTCCTGCAATCTGCAGAGACACGTCCGTTTCTGTACGGTTTACCGGCACCTTGTGGTTTGTTTGCTCTAGAGGTCAGGCCAATATGCTCTCACTATACAATGCTGCACTTTGTACACATTGTCACTGTTTTTAGCTGAATCACAGTACCTTTGAAGTTCTTTAGCTTGACCTGAAATTCCTGTGTGTGTTGTTCTCAGCTTACTCTATGGTTTATGTTTGTCTTCAGCCAATCCCGAATGGTCTCCATGGAGCCTGTGGTCAGCATGCAGTCGCACATGCGGCCTGGGCGTTCGCTTTCGGCATCGTACTTGTGTAACACCGGATGTCAGCCTGCACAGCTGTCCAGGCAGCAGCTCCGAAACTCAAGACTGTCACTCTGGGCCTTGTACCGGTATGCATGATTGTGTGTGTGTGTGAGCGTGTGTGCGGCCATATGGGTAGGCAGGGAGATTGTGAGTATGTGACTATGTGCCACAGAACATCCCTCCCATATAGCAAATACAGACAAAATCAGCTCACTGAAAGGTTGCGTGTACTGAAAGGTTGCGTGTGCATACATACATGTGCATGCTAGCAAGGTTTTGCAGCACAATGCCCCCCCCCCCCCCTCTTTTGACATTATTTTGCCAATAATTTGTACCCACCCTTCCGAATGCTTCTGCTCTGACTTGCTTCCTACGCTTAGTGTTTTGGCTGCTGGTTGGCTAGTGTAAGAAATAGAAATAAAAAAAACCTCCTGTGGACTCTTATGTAACTCCCGGAATCAGCACAAAACTGGCCGTTTACATGTACAGTGTGCACAACAACACCTTTCGTCCTGTCTATGCTTCGTACAGTATTCCCTTGTCCAAGTCAGCATGACTCATCCTGGAATGTGACATGGCCGGTAACACCACAACACCAGCGTGCCACTGTCTACTGTCCAGACGGCTATACAGGTAGTGCTCATTCATACTTTTACTTGTACTTTCTTGCTGCCGTAAACTGGTCACATGGGTCTCCCAGGAAAGGGGAAAGAGATTCAAAAGGAATCTCATCCATAGTGCTACAAAGTAAATACCACAGTATTCCTTTCCTTGATCATGGAAACTCTGAACAACTGATCCAACTTGTGTGACGTCACAATCTTGGTTTTTACAGAGCATGGACATATTCGGTTCTTAAAATGTTAACCCTTTAAGAGCCACAGGAAAATTTCAAATTTCTGCATTTTTTCGTGTTCTTTGGATCATAGCTTCAGTTCTATTCACTCAATCCTCACAATCTAGGGCTTCCTGGAAAGGTCTCCGCGAGAGGAAGAGAATGAGATTGATCATGATAGCCAGCACACCGTCTAGCCAGCGATAGATCGCAGCGACAGTACGAAAAATGCCCCAAATGCGTCCAATTGCGTCCCGCTCCAGATATTTCATTTTTACTCGATCGTGGAGTTCCAATTTTTTCGCTGTGTACTCTTGACAATATCAACAGTGAAACCCGTGCAAATTCGAGTAAACCAGCGTGACGAAAAGTCTCAAAATTCTCAATACTAAAGTCGCACTGAACGCTTTTGAAATTGCCGCGATCGCGGCTCAACTTACGAGTGATTTATCTCAGGAATCGTAGCTCGCAGTGCTTCGCGGATTATTTCTCCCGACAGGTGAGAGTTTTCTCTTTGCCCTGGATATTTCGATCACTGGATTTGAGCGAGATTGGACTGAGTTATGATCTTTTGAAGTTTTGCATTTGAATGCGTCGTTTACGACGCATTCAAGTATGGGGCGGCTCTTAAAGGGTTAACATCAAATTGCTGGTACATGCCAAGTCTCTAGGTTGAGCTGTTTCATCTCTGATGCGTTGCCTCCTGTTGACCGCCATTCACGTGTCTTTCTCCCCTCTGCCCATCCAGGAACTGCCTTTCGTTATTGCAACGTGAGTAATGCAGACAAGTACCACAGCTCATGGGATCCACCATCCTACTCAAACTGTTCGTCCAATGCGTTTGTGGAGCTATCCACTGAGGTTAGTGAACCTTCTTTGAATCTTTGGTAGGTGTGCAAAAAGAATTATACATTTCTCTTTCGGAATGAAGTTGAAGACACCACTGCAGCTCTACTGATGGTTGATTAATATGGTGTTTTTTTTTTGTTTTTTACTAGAGCCACGTAAACCCGTCATGTGTGAGCCATGAATAAGGGGAGTGGTGGCGTGGTCTGGGATGCTCTGCCGACCTTGGGTCTCGGCTTCATCACAACCAGGCGCGCCAATAGCAGAGAGAAAGAGAGAGAGAGAGAGAGAGAGAGAGAGAGAGAGAGAGAGAGAGAGAGAGAGAGAGAGAGAGAGAGAGGAGAGAGAGAGAGAGGAGAGAGAGAGAAGAGAGAGAGAAGAGAGAGGAGCGAGAGACAGAGAGAGAGAGAGAGAGAGAGAGAGAGAGAGAGAGAGAGAGAGAGAGAGAGAGAGAGAGAGAGAGAGAGAGAGAGAGAGAGAGAGAGAGAGAGAGAGAGAGAGAGAGAGAGAGGGAGGGAGGGAGGGAGGGAGGGAGGGAGGGAGGGAGGGAGGGAGGGAGGGAGGGAGGGAGGGAGGGAGGGAGGGAGGGAGGGAGGGAGGGAGGGAGGGAGAGAGAGAGAGAGAGAGAGAGAGAGAGAGAGAGAGAGAGAGGGGGGGAGAGAGAGAGAGCGAGCGGGGAGGGTTGGGGGCAAGAGAGGGGGAGAGAACTAAAATTAATAAAGTATAATTATATAATGCGTAAGGGGTGCACATTCAGATCCAGAGAAAAGAGTAAGCAGGGCACGAGGCGTATGGCAATATGCAGCAGTGTGTGGGCAGATGTGCATTGGAAAGGCTTCTTGTCTGAAGCCTTTCCATACTGGTACTCGATGTTCCAGTTTTGTGACACGAGAATGGCACGAGAATTAGTGTACCGCTGAGTGTACCGCTATACACGTGGTCGACACGTAGTCGACACGTTGTTGATACTTTTTTGACACGTGACCCCGTCAACGGTCTGCTTTGTGCCAATGCCACTCGGTAAACGCCGATGTCGCGTACGACAAAGACGACTATCCCGTACGCGAAATAGTTGAGAACTGCATGACGTGGACCTGACGGCAAGGACAACTGCGAGGAGGCCCCTTTCGGTACCCCTGACGGGAAGGAGAACTGCAGAAGTCGACGAAGTCGAACGAGGAGGCCCCTTTTCCGTATCCCATACTGCAAAGTGCCATTGATGGATACCTTTTGCACCTGGAACGACCCCTTAAACGCTGTCGCGGCGACTATCCCGTACGCGAAATAGTTGAGAACTGCTGACGTGGACCTTTTGCACCTGGAACGGCCCCGTAAACGCTGTCGTGTCGGCGGAATGAATGTGCAGGGTACTAGGGTGAAAAGAATTGCTGCAAAGACGTCCCCTCTACTAGGCCCTAGGCCTTTGCCTTTGCAGACATCGTCGGCGAACTGAATGCGCAGGGCGAAAAGAATTGCTGCAAAGACGTCCGCTCTAGGCCTTTGGAGACATCGTGGGAACTCCTTCCGGTACTATACAAACTGCTGACGTGGCCGTGGACATGTACATGGAGAGTCATGGTGGGACTTCATGTACATGGATACATGGTGGGAATTCCTTCCGGCACCCCCGTACCGCAAAGCCAACGGTGGGGAAGGAGAAGTGCAGACGTGCAGGAAGACGAACGAGGAGGAACCAGGAAGAGCGAGCAATGGCAGGCCGCACTAGCTGGACCGTAAGTAATAGCTGAATTGTGCATGACAACTTGACATCCATGCGGCACTCGCCACTTGCCACTGCATATTTCTTGTCCACTAACAATGTCTCTCCTCTGCCCCCTGTGTGTCCACGGCTATGTTTCTGAATTGGCCCGATGAATCGAATGTCTTCCGCAACTGGAACGGCCCCGTGAACGCTGTCGCGTCGGCGACTGAATGCGCAGGAGGGAAAATATTGCTGCGAAGACGTCTCCTCTAGACGACGGTAAGGCACCCCATTGATATGTTGCCAGTGTGTGCCAAGGTATCGCGCGATGGTGAATGAGGAATGATGAAGGGTACGGTGGGACTGTAGACCTGTTACCTTCTACTAACACGTTATCAGGTGGAGAGTGTCTTCTACTCACGTTATCAGGTCGAGAGCGTATTGTAGTCACTCTCTCTATTCCTGTACTTCATAACGTTTAAGGTGTACGTATAACTTCTCCAAACAAATTAATGGTCTACAGTCGTGTCGGAAGGGTACGGTGGGACTGTAGACATGTTACCTTCTAACACGTTATCAGGTGGAGAGTGTCTTGTACTCACGTTATCACTATTATCAGGTCGAGAGCGTATTGTAGTCACTCTCTCTATTCCTGTACTTCATTACGTTTCAGGTGTACGTATAACTTTTCCAAAAAATTTAATGGTTCACGTCTTCAGATAGAGAGCGTATTGCACCCACTGTCTAGTCCCTGTTGTGCATTGAGATTTTGTTGATCGAACATGAAATGGATACACAGACAAAGCCAGGCCAAGTACATGGCGAGATGTCGCCAGAAGAACGTCTTCAGGTAGAGAGCGTATCGCACCCATTGTCTAGTCGATTTTGTGGATCGCACAGGAAATGGATACACAGACAAAGCAGGCCAAGTACATGAGAGAGTGGACGATGTGCAGATCGACACGGCCTGCGGGTACTTCATTAAAGGGGAAGTCCGGCGAAAAATTTAAATTTCAGGGTCGGTAGAGTTTCGGGCGCTGAGTCGAATGGTGTTGGTCCCACGTGTCTCCGACAAAGTGTTCTCGAGATATTTCCGTTTGAAAAACTGAGTTTCGGGGGCTGCGCCATGACGTCATGCGGCCGCGCCACACCCTCTGCAACGTCATAGCGTGCAGCTAGGTCAAAAGGGGTGCGTGAAAGCAATAGTGTCAGTGCTATTTCAAATGATTTGGCGACTGATATAATTTATTAGTTGGTGCAAGCGACCCCGAAGACCTGTAACTCCTTGTGAGAGTGAGGATGCAGCCATGGCTGACCTTCATGAGTTCGGTCTGGGGCTGAGAACCTCGGTATTCAGCTGAAGAAATGGCCGCGCGGGCCGGTCAAGAGTGAGCGATACTGAGTTTCCCGCTGATGAAGAAGCAGCAGCTATTGCAGAAGAGGCTGATGTAATTATCAGATCGCTGGAGAGCAGGGTCGCCAAAATGGAGAAGAGTGATGCGAGTGCTCTAAATGTTGTTCCATACCGATTCGCGTAGACTCCAGTAGCCTGCCACATGATGATGTTTTGGTGCGAACTTGGAATATTTCGGACTACTCAATTGGAGAACAGTGCAGGCTCTTTGAACCACGGGCACGACTCTTCGCTCGCAACGCTATGGAATCTGAAAGTTCTAGGTCCGGGAGCTGTTCGCTGTTTTGTCACTTGTCACGGTTGTGCACTCATCGCTGTAGCATAAAATAATGAGGCGGGAGCGGAAAACTAAAAGTAATTTTCTTTCTCCAAGCACAATCACCGGCACCGGCAAGGAGAAACGCACGTTCTCTGACTACATGACTGTACAATACGACTGATACGAGTGTAGTACATTACAAGTCCGTGTGTTGACTAGTTTTCTGAGTCTTGTGTCAGTTGTGACTCGAGTCTTGTTGTAGATACTACCCCAGCACGGCAGTGCGGGAGTACTGTAGTTCCGTCTGTGATGAGTTTGTTGACTGCACTACAGCAAGATAACACACTGCACGCACTGCAATCTCTGCATGCACGCAGCGCACAGCGCTAGCGCGTAGAGGCTGACGGAAAAAGTCCAACTCGGAAACGGCTAAAATACGGTATAACCTCGAGGTTTACCAAGCTGAAAATCACAGAGTACGTAGTGTTTGTAACACTGAATCGAATGGTCTTGGTCCGAAGAAGCTGCGACAAACGGTTCCCCAATCGAACGCGCTCCGAATATGGCCATTTTGTACACAACTAGATGGTGTGGCTACCTGGCTGCACGCTGTGACGTCATCACCTGGATCTGGGTGATGCGCGCTCAAATTCGCACATGTTCGATTGGGCGTATCTGACGAACCATAAGCCGCAGCCTCCTCGGACAAAGACCATTCGACTCAGCGACCCGAACTCTACGGACTGTGAAATTTAAAATTTTCACCGGACTTCCCCTTTAAAGTTACCCGTGACATAACTAGGATAAAAGTTAATCACTGCAAAAACATTGCCAAGTATGTGAGCACTTTGGACTTGACAGAAGAGTGCACGGGCGACGTTGACAAAACATACCGCGGTGACTGTCACTATCATGACAGCAGGGCACATCGCACGCAGCATCGCAGATCGTGTCGAATTGCGCATCATAATAATTATTGCAAAACTGCTCCTGTGCGTGCAAGTGGATTTCATTGCACTTCTCAGTTTGGGAAATGCTCGATTATGACAATTCTCCGTGTGAGTGCACTAGCCCTGAACAGACATGTAGGTGAACCGTTTGTGGTGTCTCATAGCCTACCTCACGACCTTCTGCTTTCTTTCTTCATCACTTGTATCTTGCAGGTATATCATCCCGTGACGACCACAATGAAGTCTGAATTTGAAGTGTGAAGATGCTTCAGCAACTACATCGTACTTTTCCATTGCTTTCATTGTGCTTCTACTGTGCATGTGTATAACTTGTGGGGTAAACACGTGATGACATTGTATGCTGGCGACACGGTCAGATGTTCATGCGTCTAACGTACACCTGCATGTTATGCATTGAAAAAGGTTTGCCACTTGCGATCCTGGGACGAGTATCAGGTCCGCTTTGTCCTGTGTGGGCTGTATCAGATTGCTGTTCACTTCTCTATCTGTTGGATATGTGACTTTCTGCAAGTTTCTGGTGTATGATGGCCACGTCCTTGCTTGTCACTTTGTATGATATTACATTCTGTATTCGCTGCTTCCATGGCATGGTTTGCAAACTGCAATCCTTGGGCAAATGTCATGTTTGCTATGTTGTGCTTTGGCCGTCAGCTTGTCTACACGCTGTAGTTGAATTATTTTTGTTTCACAACTGACTTCCTCAAGTACGGTGGCCACTGCTTTGCATGGCATTATACATGAAGAATTTCCTGTTTGTGTCGTGTGCATGTGCGTATGTGTGCGTGGCCACGTGTGTGTGCCGTGTGCATACACATGTTGTGTATCTGTGTGCGGGGTAGCGAGGCGGGGAGGGCTGGTATGTATCAGTGTGTTATTGCAGTCGCATGGCTAGTACATCGCGCGCGTGGTCATGTTTACCTTCGGGGTTGGGGTGGGGAGGGAACGGAAAAAGAGCTGAAATTATCCATATAAAAATCGCTCTGTGAGCGGTTCTGAAAAACCTTTACTGGTACTGCCCCGTCGTAAAAGTAAGAAATTAGAACTGGCCCATTGTCCCCCCAAATGCGAACTGATCCACCTAAATCGCGAATGACGGGACCCGAACGCACCAGTAGCACGAGGTTCCTACCTGTGGATGCAGATGGGGACGTTGGTCCGGACCATAGGCCATGTACTGTACTAGCGGTAGGCTTCCCTATCAAAATAATAAATTCTACTACTAATACTGGTATACCCTATGATAATTGCCGTGATCCTGTGCCCTCCCGACCTCGTGCTACTGGTGCGTTCGGGTCCCGTCATTCGCGATTTAGGTGGATCAGTTCGCATTTGGGGGGACAATGGGCCAGTTCTAATTTCTTACTTTTACGACGGGGCAGTACCAGTAAAGGTTTTTCAGAACCGCTCACAGAGCGATTTTTATATGGATAATACATCTTACAAAGTGTCAGTGACCCAGTGCCATTGCTGGGCACGGAGGTGCCGGAAGACAGACACTTTGAAACTATGCAGCCGTTTCCGGTCAGGTGGCTGGCTGAGGACGGCGGGTGGCTGGGCATTCCATACAGGGACAGCACAGGCGGGGAAAGCTCTACGGCAACTTTCCCGGCTACTGACAGGTAGCCCTGTCTCAAGCTGGTAGTTATGCATGTCGAGACGGACGAGAGAGAGATGGGTGGGTCGAACATGGGCTGGTCGGGGGGGGGGGCTTGAGAGGGAGGCAAGAGCTGACGAAGTGGGGTGGTAGGATTGGAGCACAGTAGCTTGTAAATGTAGGTACACGCAGCTACCATGTGCCGGATAGACAGGCTTTGCAGCATTGCGCCGGGGCCAATCAAGTGGAGGGCTGAGCGCTGCGTCTGGTCAAGTCGCTGCAAGTGACAATCTGCTGCGCCCATCCAGTTCAATGGGCAGTACTCCATTACTGGGCGTACAAACCCACGGTACACTGTAGCTCGGCTGCGAGAATCCAGGAGCGGCGAGGCCTTCCGCAGGAGCCCGAGACGCTGGCGTGCTCTTATGGCGATGGTACGGAGGTGGTTGCGGTGGGAAAGTTGGCTGTCCAAGGTTACCCCAAGAAGCTTGAGGTTACTCTCTCCATTCAGGGGGACACCCACAAACTGTACTGCTGGGAGGTCCCAGGCGGGGCGGTGATGGTCAATAGTCATGGCCTGGGACTTGGCTGGCTCGAACGCAATTCTCCAGCTGGTGCCCCAATTCACAAGGGCATCGAGAGCATTTTGCAGGACTGTCGAGCTGTGGTCAATGGTATCCATGGCGGACAGGCACTGAAACAGCGTTGTGTCGTCGGCATAAGCGGCCAGATCTACACCTGGTGGAAGGTGGTCATCGGCATCGTTCGTGTAGAGAAGGAACAGTGTCGGTCCCAACAAGCTACCTTGCGGAACACCGGCTGTGATGTGGTGTGGGCTGGACGACTGCCCACCAACGACAACACTCAGGCACCTGTCCAGCAGGTAGTCCCTCAACCATGCAAGGAGCATGCCGGATACACCGTACTGCTGGGCTTTGTGGATCACACCTGGGTGGGAGACTCGATCGAACGCTCCAGCAATATCCACAGCAACAACCCGCACAGCTCCGCCCCCTGCAGCCACGGTACTCCAACGATGGTGTAGTAGGGTAAGGAGGTCCTGCGTTCCCAGGCCGGAGCGGAAGCCGTACTGGTTAGTGGTGAGGATGTGCTGGCGCTCAAGGAATCCCATAAGGCTACGATTGATGATAGCTTCCATGACCTTTGACAGTATTGGTAGCAGGGATATGGGTCAGTAGTTCTTTGTTGCGGACTTCGAACCCTTCTTGTGCACAGGTACAACTGAGGCAAGCTTTCACAGTGACGGTTGCCGGCCTTGGCGGAATGCTTTGCTGAAGAGCGGGGCCACAGGCCTGCACAGTTCCTCACAGCACCGCTTCAACACTCGTCCTGGTACACCATCCGAGCCAGTGGCTTTGGACGGGACAATCCTCCTCAGTTCACGGTATACCGTTCGTGGCCTAAAGTGGATGGTACTCAGACAAGCATCAGATCGCGGGCGTTTATACGGGAGGTTGCTGTTAAAGACACACCTGGCAATATGGCGGTACAAACACGCCTGCCCTCACACGCTCTCTAGACTGCAAAGTTCTGGCACAGAGCTCTCCTTCTCACCACCACCACCATCAATTCGCGTCTGGCGCCTAGTCGATGCATGGTTGGCGGTATCCGACATAGCAGGCTGGTACATCAGGTAGCGCGTGGATGACACAGATGACACAGCAACGGCATAACAGTTAGCTCGATTGCGACGTATGTTCGTCCCCGCTGGACTTATCAGTCAATCTTCTTCTTGGGTGTCTTCATCCGGAGCTTGACTCTCGGGAGGCAATTTTTTTTAATCGACTCGAGCCATCAAAGTTAGAGCGCTCTGACTGCAAGAAACACAGTGGCACATTGCCTGCAGTCCTTTCAGAAAAAGATGATCATCTTGTTCGGTGTCGTGCTGTGTATGTGCATGTACATGTGGTGATGTTGCAATATCAGGTCATGCAAGCTGTTACTGTGACTAACGAGCTGAGCAAGCAAACTGGAGAGCTGGCACACCAGCTGACCGCCAGTATCATGTCACAAGCCACAGAGCAGGTATGCGTGCGTACCCCCCCCCCCCCCCGTTGACATTGCAGCTGTAGCTGTTGGTGCGTCCCGTCTTCCGTGATGCCAAGACCTTCATGGTTGATTGAGTACTTCCCCCCCCCCCAACACACACACAAGAGTGTATAGCTCATGTACAAAACTATGTGATAAAGCTAGTTGTAAATCTTCTTCCACCTGTATAGTATGAACCAAAGTCATATACTGTGGACCTAGCTCGACAATAGGAACTCTGGGCAATGCAGTGATCGTCGCTCAACTTTATTCTAGATATTGTACTTCATATTCCAGTTCTTCAGATTCCCGTGGGGTTGTCAAATTGGTCACGCCACAAGTACTGGCGCCACAGTTGTAGATTGGTATTCTCTATCTTTTGTCAAGCAATGGCTGCTTCTTTGTATTGGTGTTACATCCAATCTCAATGGCCTTGCTCCCTCTTCTCCATTTCATTTTCCCACCAGGTTGCAATGCTCACAGACACAAAGAGTACACCCACACAAGCTCCAGTGGTCAATGATTCTACTGCCGCTCCCAGCTCGGCACCCTTGGAATCAAAATCTCTGGTATCGGCTGACCTTAAGACTGCACTGACACTGCTGAAGGATATCATTGGAACTGTGGACAGTCTGCCGGAAGATCACAAGGAAGTCGTTGTGTCCTCGGATAAGTTTACAACTGTGAGGACGTTTCTGTGGCCACATTCGTCTGTCATGTGCTCGAAATCGCGATGGTGTTTATCCTAACTCACTGTTACTAGAGCCTTTCCTGCATGCTCTTAAGTGATACAATGTCTGATTGGTCATGGCTGCTATGCACCTACTCGTTATGTCACACTTCTCAACCTGTGTCTGTGTGTGTGTGCCTATTTCCATTGGTTGTTTGGCCGTGGAAAGCGCTTTGAGTATGCCGGTTCTCTCTGGGGTTGCATTCATGAGTCCTATTCACATCCCTTCCTCCCTTTTCACGCACACGTGCATGTGCACACACACACACACGCGCACACACACACACACACGCACACACACACACACACACACACACACACACACACATGCACACACACACACACACACTGAGACTATGTGTGTCTTGTTCTGTACGCCTCCTGGAACAGCTGTGGTGGATGTACAACGTTGACTGACCTTTTTATCAACTGCTTGTGCTAATTGCTGCGTTGATAGAGTTTTCTGGAGGCTACCAGTAACCTGCTTGATGGGGCGAATGAAGGTGGCTGGAGTGACTTGGAAGAAACCCAGGAAATACCGCCTGACGAGGGATTCATCACAGTGTCACCTGTGACAGATGTATCAACTAAAACTGAAGGTCCGGCTCAGGTACATGTCCCGCTTAAATAGAACGCTCATGATTTGCGCAATGCATGCCTTCATCTCTGAGATGTTTGTGTTTATTGTCTCGCATCATATTCATCTCTGCATGTCATGTCCAGGCATTGCATGTGTAGGCTAGGACATAGCCCTGCAGTGGGCTTGTGCACGCAGTGGTTGTTGGCAGTGGTTTTCTTCTGATCGCTGACACATCTGCACTGTCACGAGCATGCCCAGATTTGTATTCGCTTTTGCATACTTAGTATACTGCTTGTGCTTGCAGCCTGCAGCATCCCAGTCTGAGAGTTCCAGTGCTAGCATAGTGAACACGGTGGATGCATTTGTCAAGCAAACAGCACAGGTCTTTGAGACCGAGTCCAGTAACAAGTCAAGAACTGTCCAGGCACCCAATATTGGTGAGTGAAGCCAGCACTGTCAGTTGACAAACCCCCTTTTCTGCTATGAAGCAAAATGTGTAGGTTGTCCCCTTTTGTTGTCTTTCTGCAGTGTCCCTATTGTCATCATACATGTATCTGCACTATTCTCCTGCCATATGAGCTGATCACTGTCCCGATTGCAACTTGATTGTTTTGCCTGTAATGCACGTCTGAGATGTTACCCCTCTGGATTTTCCCAATTCTTTGCTCTTCTTGTACCAGTGCTGAAAAGCGAGCCCATAGTATTGCCTGATGCCTTGCACCTTTTCGAGGAGTTCAGTGACTTCACGTTCGACATAGAGGATAGCAGTGTGCTCACACCGTCAGATGATGCCCCAACTGCAGCAGTAACTACCTTAGCAAATCCAACAGCAACAAACACTGACAGTACCACGGACAACAGCAGCAGCTCCGCCACAGGAAGTACAGTACCGGCGCCGACGCGCTTGCCCATTCAGCCTGCCCCCACTGCTCCTCCAAAGAAGCAGACAGCTTTTGCTGGCCATGGCCTGAAAATCCCTGCATCACTCATCAGGTCAATTGTCTTACGCCACCGCTCTACAGGTGAGTAACATCCCAGCTCTGAACAATCAAAACTATCTCTCTGGAAAGGCAATGATAGGGTACTATGTGTCCTTCAAAATCCACAGGCATCATTGCAGCCATTCACACATTTTAAAGTAATTCAGAAATTCCTTATCGGTCTCTCACTGGCAAATAATTCATTTATTCCAAATGTTCACCTTAGCAGGCATCTTCAGGGAGTTCTCACTGAGGTGAGAGACCAGGAGGAGAGAAGGATTTGTTTAAGAATATGTGTGGTACTGCAAGAGGGTAAGCAGCAGCTTTCAACCTATTCATCATTGAACCGTGGTGGAGCGGTTACTCCATAGTGGATACTGCGCTGTGGGTAGTGGCTACTCCATAGTGAATACTCCATGCTATTGTTACCGCTGCAAATCAGTACGCCCTGTGTGTTCTCATTGTTGTTTCTCCTGCAGGTGGTACTAATAGGCTAAAGCGATCAGCTGGTAAGCTTGTGTAGACTATGGATTGCTTGAATCATGTGCAATGTCATCTTGGTGGACTGCTGTGTTCCATTCAAGCCGAAAATTTTCTCTGTGAATAATGTTGTCCAACTGTGAAGAAGGGCAGCTTCTCAGGTGAAAGTTCATCCATGAATAATGAAACCTATGAAAGACGTGGGCAGACTGCTATTAATCAGGAATTCAATTCAGTCCGAATCTCTTCAATCGAAAAGGACGAATTTAATTCACGAATATTATTTGTGTTGTTACAGTGCCCATGTAGGTCATGCAGAGACCTGTTGGTGAAAGAAATCATCGCTCTTGTGTGCGTGTCTCATTTTACTGTTTCCTTTTAGAGTGCAACTTGAGAAAGCTTCAGCTGTCATTTGCCGTGTTCGATGGATCAAATTTGCTACGACGAATGGAAAGTGACCAAGAGTAAGTTTTGTTGTGTTCTAAAAAAATTTGTCAGAGACACACTGCTTTGTGTAGATATCCAGTGTGTTTACCGCAATGTCGCGTATAGAAGCCGAGCTTATTCCAGTAGAAGCCCCTAGAGTGGTGGGACTTGAGAAGATCATGCCCACCACAAAGTGATAAATGCCCTAAAAATCCCACTTGCTTCATCCGTGTTAGTTAGGGGTCGTCCATAATATCGAACTTTCTACAAAAAAGGAACAACTTCCGTTTGTGGTTGGATAGAGGAGAGTTTCATTTGAAAATATTGGTAGCTGAACCATCAATTCATTCTAGCTGTCAAGTCGATATATTTTGTTCAAGGGGGTGGGTGGCCAGGTGGATGGGTGGTTGGGTGGGTGGATGGGTGGTTGGGTGGGTCATAACTAAACTTTTTTGGTCCATGAAAATCATCGATAATGCCGGATGGCCCCTTATGATACCTGTTTTCAATTTCAGGACTGGCGCAAAGTCTCACTTCAGGCTGATGTCGATTTCCTTGAACCTGTGTGGAGAGCAAGTCACATCACTAGAAGAGCCTGTCCAGCTGAAATTCTCTAGGGCAGAGGTGAGTTTGACTGGTTGAGGAACTACCTACATGAGAGATACATCAGGGGCGTAGGAGGGGTTTTGGAAGTGGTACGACCGAAGGCCGTGTTGGAGGGGGGTCCGGGGGACCTCCCCCGGGAAAATTTTGTAAAAAGACACAAAATCCTGCGTTCTGGGAACTTCTGGCACACTTCACACACACTTCTGGCGCAGTGTGCATGCAGTCGAATCGAGTACGAGTACAGACTCAGTAGACTCAGTCCGACTGCAGATGCATAACAGATCTACGAGTCTAGAAAAAGGTCAAAGTCTGATGCGCATATGCATCGATGGATCCTGATTTTTTTATTACGGTTTTGCACGTTCCGGACGGACCACACTTTTCGAAAAGTGGTACGGCCATGGTCGTACCAGTCGTAGCAGGTGCTACGCCCCTGTACATGCATGGAATTGGCAGAAGACAGCATGAGGGAGAAAGTTGCAAGGGAAGAGAGGGAAATTACAAGGGAGAAAGCAGACAAGAGAGTGTGCTTGCTCAACACAGTGAGAGAGTAGCATGATAACCATACCAACATTATCAAGGCAGTACTTGTACCACTTACAGTGCTACAAGATTTACTTGATAGCAGAGGACAATGTGCTCAGTTTGTCTGTGTCTATTTACCCATGTATCAACAGGTGAATGCCAGTGCTGATATGAACACAGAGGAGTGTTGCAAGTATTGGAATGCATCAACTTGGTAATGCATCGCGTCAACAGTCACCTACATACCTAGCTATCTTTCTATTCTCAATAACATGTACAGTCATGTACAGTCATGTACAGTCATGTATATACTGTAGCGGACATGGAAATCCAGTTGATTGACCGGGGCCGGCGCCCTCAGTGCGTACAGACCGCTGTATGCAGTGCACATGTTGATCCGGTGCGACCAGCACGCTGCAGCGCATAAATGCATGTGTGTACCGCTTATCCACGGCTGCATGGCCAGCGCCCTGGGGTCGCTAGACGTGCGACCGGATTTCAATGTCCACAGCAGGACAATGCTCTCTCTTTCTCTTTCTCTCTCTCTCTCTCCCTCTATTTCTCCATGTTAGAGTGCGCTTCTAGGGCTCAGCCGCTGCATCCATGAAATTACCTGTAGTTTGCCTTGCTTGTGTAGCTAGTGGTGGAATGTGTATTATATAAATATACAATATGCACCAAGATATATGGTTATTTCAGCTACTGTGCCTACCTGTGTGTGTCTGTGCGGGTGTTCGGAGCAAAGCTGGGCACCGCCGGCACAACTGCAACCGCAGAACATGCAGCTCTGGCTCCGAGCGCCGCACCATCCCATGCCCGACCTGCTCTCGGAAGTTCACACGGCTCCAGTACCTGGCTCAACACAAATGCAAGAAGTAACTCTGCCCTCCTTGCCTCTTTGAGGCACTGCATCACCTTTAGGTGGCAGTTTCAAGGTTTCAAGGGTGTGCATGTGAGTGTGTGTGTGCATTTCTGCACGCATGCATGCGTGTGCATGCTTGTGAGTGTGTGTTTGCATGTGTGTACACTGCACTGCCTCTCAGGTCTACAAATGGTGTCAATATGGATGTTAGGTCATCAAATGTCAATTCCTCGTACTGCAATACAAATCACCTAACCACCTTCTCAATATTTGCATCGCCAACGGGACTTCAGTTCTTGGTAAGGTATATGCGTCATCTACCAACTGTGTCATGTTCTGCTGTCCGTTTAGAGTGGAATGAATGCACAGAACATGGTGAAAACGTTTCTATATTTGTCATCTCTGGTAGTATAGAGAGTGTGTCTATTAGTACTAGTGTTCAACATTCTATCGTTTCACTGCAGAGTGCGAAGGATTTGGTGGTTCTATCAGCAATCAGTAGATACCTGGGATGGGTGTCATTTTCCTGTCTTGCTATGACTGTTATCGTCGTTCTCAAGTTCAAGTAAGAGTGGTTTTTTTCATTTTGTGCGTGTGTGTGTGTGTGTGTGTGTGTGTGTATGCATACATGCATGTGTGTGTGTACGCGTGCGGGCACGTGTGCACGTCTGTGTGTGTGCGCGTGCGTGTGTGTGTACGCATGCATGCATGTGTGTGTGTGTGTGACGCCAACAATTCAAGTTTCACTGCCAAGTTTGCCACAACCGACGGTTCCGGAGGCGGCAAGATCTGGAACGCCACTTGGAGCATTGCCTTCCTCCCCCCTAACCTCTCTGACAGTACCTCCCTTTGGGGAGCGGCGTGGCCATTTCTGGCAGCTGTCAATAGTAGTAGTAGTAGTGTGTGTGTGTGTGTGTGTGTGTGTGTGTGTGTGTGTGTGTGTGTGTGTGTGTGTGTGTGTGTGTGTGTGTGTGTGTGTGTGTGTGTGTGTGTGTGTGTGTGTGTGTGTGTGTGTGTGTGTGTGCATGTGTGTGCATGTGTGCTAGTCTAATCACTGCAATGCCAACTTTCAGTTGTGATTTCCACAGAAATGTCCACTTTGCTTGTAGTAATGAGTTTTTTCTAGTATGTGTCACTGTTGGGAAGCATGCACAGTTGAAGTCTCAAATAATGGTGGGAGATTGCAAGATGCTGACTTGAGGCACTCTCAAACAATAGCTGTATTTTGCTGTGTTGTCACTCCCTCCCTTCTTAGTACTTTCCTGAGCAACAAACGCATTGCCATCAACACCAACCTCTGCTTCAGTCTGGCCATGGCTCAGCTGGTATTCCTCGTTGGCATCGAGAACGAGGCAAAATATTCAGTTCCTGTAAGCTCCTTTGTGCATGCATTGTGGTTTTGGTTTTCCGTTGTGTTATGCATGTCTGGCCCTAAGGGCCCACACACAGCATTACACAAGTCCGTATGGTTATTCTAATAATGAAGGAACTGAAAGACAAGAAAAAAGAGCTCAAATTCTTGGGCGTCTAATCCAGCATGGCAAGCATGCAAAACAGCCCCCCCAGCCAAGCGCATGTGCTTTATCACATCTACGTATACAGCAGTCGCCCCCCCCCCCCCCCAAGATTTTTTTCCCGGGGCAAAATTATAACAAATGCAACGAGGCAGTCTCATTTGACGCCAACAATTATTATAGAGGTAGCTGTTGGAACTATAACGGCCAGACAATACAAAAGCAACAAAAAAACTTGTGATTGCACACATCTACTTATAACAGTTACCGTATTTTTCCGGTTGTAAGTCGACCTTTTACGACTAAAAATAGAAGGAGAAAGAGCGGGGGTCGACTTACAACCGGGATTCGACTTATAACCGGGAGCTATCAGTATCTTACAAAAAATGACCTGCCCTGCATGCACGACTGCACCATGTGTACACATTTTGCCAGTTTATTGGCCTTTTTCAAGGATTGGGACGTTATACCCTCCAATAAGGAATGTTTACATGATTTGTTGATATGTTAGTAGCAGGGAGTGGTTAGTAGTGCTTCTTTGGGTGAAAACTTTAAAACGCAGAATTGATACCTCCGGATACGGGGGTCGACCTATAACCGGGGTCAACTTACAACCGGTAAAATACTGTACAGCAGCTTCCGAAATAGTCGATGAGAGCTGGGCAATAGATCAAGGTAGGAATGACTCATGAATTGTATTGCATAGCGTTGGCGAATTAGATCAGATCGGAAAAACCCATGCAACTGTGTCAATGAATTAAACGTAAAATAATCGTGTGTGAAGACTGCTGGTCATGACCTACATGTAGAACATCCATCTGGCCCAGAAATGTCCACTTCCTACACTCGGGTCGCATCAGATCAAAGTAACAGGACAAGCAATGCATAGTCAAAGGCAATAGTACAGATACTTAGCAGTCCTCAATCAAGGAGACATGTCGACCGGAGCGACGCAAGGGGGCCGATGCAACAACACTGGGAGCCGTCTCGACTCCGGCGGCATCTGCTGCTGGGGCTAGCGTAACATCCGGCCTCACAGTGTTACTGTCGCTGCTAGCGTCTGGAAGTGGTAGCGGAGAATCTAGTCCTGTCGGCGGGTCGCTGCTGCTGGGGCTAGCGTAACATCCGGCCTCACAGTGTTACTGTCGCTGCTAGCGTCCGGAAGTGGTAGCGGAGAATCTAGTCCTGTCGGCGGGTCACTGGTCGATGTAGGCAGCTGATCTGCAGTGCTCGGTACTGTAGGTGCAACCGCCTGGTCCACAGAAGAAGGAACTGGTACTTTGCCGAACTGCACCGCCCCTGGTCATAGTTGGTCTCTATGTCGCTTCCAGACGACATCATCCACCTGTACTCCGAAACTGTGAGGGCTGTGGACATGCACTACAGAAGCTGGTACCCAAGTTGCTCCAAAGCCAAAGTTCAGGGTGAACACAGCGTCACCAGTGTTAAACTTCGACGTAGCCAACCTCTCCTGATGCACCTTGACCTGCCGGTGACTCTCAGACTGCCGCAATGCACTGAACCAGATTCTCGGTTGTCGGCCCATTAACAGCTCCGCCGGCGTCTTCCCCGTGGTGGCCGGCGTTGTTCGATGCGCCAAGAGAAACCGGTCAAGCCTGGCGTTGAGCGGTTCACCGGTATTAGACACTTCTTTCATCTTCTGCTTGAAGACACCACTGTAGCGTTCGGCGAGGCCATTAGTTGCCGGATGACCTGGCGCCGCCGTTGCGTAGAATGCCATTGCTATCCAGGAACTTCTGGAATTCCGCACTCGTGAACTGGCTGTCGTTATCTGTAACCAAGTGCTCAGGCAAACCAAACACAGAAAACAGATGGTGTTAAGCAGAAATCGTGGTTGCACTGGTTGCATGAGCCATGGGTATTACATCCAAGTACTTAGAGTAAGCATCCACCACCACCAGGAACAATTTTCCCAGAAATCACCCTGGCAAAATATCCGTTTCCTTGGGCCCGTAGGCCATGACCAAACACCGGGTTTTGCAGATGGGCATTTGGCATTCTCTTGGCATTGCATACACGCATTGACTTTAGATTCTATATCCTGGTCAATATTGGGCCACCACAGGTAGCACCGGGCCACTTGCTTCATTTTTACCATGACAAAATGCTCTGCGTGCAGATCTCGTAGCAAGAGCATTGGAAGTGAGTTAGGAGCACTTAGCTCATTTTGCGGAATGATCAATAGGCCGTGTCTAGTCTTCACTAGCACACATTCTCTGGCAAATTCTTTAAGTATGCCTTACTCCCTCTTACTCTTACCGTCTTACTCCCACCGCTAGGCGCTGCATCTGACGCTAGGGTTAACCCGGTTTACCGGGTGTTAGCGGCCGTCGTGAGTTCCCTTTGGGAACGGACACGATAATTTACGTCTTATTTCTTTTCTTGCTTACTGCTTCATACCTCTGACTCACGGTGCCTTCTACTGCCTGCCCCTTTTACCATCACATACCACCATGTGCATATGTAGACCCACACTATCCACTATACCCACACCATCCCACAATCCAACCAAGTTCCACACGTACGACCAAATCTACATGTATGCCACAGTTTGGGCTGTGACGCTGTCTTGTTTGTGTGTCTGTCTGCTCTATTTCCTGCATTCTGCGATATGCATGTCCAGCTTCAGTGCCGATTGATTGCTGCCTTGCTGCAGTACTCACTGCTGACTACGTTCATGTGGATGCTAGCAGAGGCTGTTCACTTTCACTGTATCATTGTCACTGTCTACTTCACACCCATCGATCAAACCAAGGTCTATGCAGCCATTTGCTACGGTGAGACATTTTTAAAACTCAGAACGGAAACTTCTGAAGATGCATGTAGGGTTGGCAGTGATCATAGACTTGACTATTAGATGAATTGGGTTTTTCACTTTACGGCATGCAAGTGGACAAACTTCAGCACTAATGCATAGTGCACAGTTACCCATCTCCTGTGCTAGGACCAAGTTACTACCGATTACCTCGACATAGTTTACAGCATGCAGCGATGGTCTGTGGAAGCACCGGTGTTCTGTTGGACAATTTCATTGTTTTATCTCACCTAATCCTGCCTTTATTGAGAACTTTGAAACTCCACCATAATCCTGCCTTGACATGTTATTTGTTTATTGAGCAAAGCACAGGTAGTGGCAATGAACCAATATGACCTGGTACTAAAGACAAGAGCCGTAATTGCTTTGCAATGTTGCTTCTAGGAGTACCTCTGGTGATCGTCGGCATCACGGCTGGTTGGAGATGGAAGCAGTTTGGAACCACCACAGCGTAAGCGCCTGCACATTGTTTATCTCTACACTTGGGGACCTCTATAGCACAGTGGTGACACTGATAATGCTGTTTGATTCGGCTTGAACCCATTACCGTATTTTCCGGAGTATAAGCCGCATTTTGAACACTCAAAATTCACCCAAAAAGGGGGGGGGGCGGCGGCTTATACTCCAATGATCAAATTAACAGTGATAAACAGGATAGATGTCTGTACTTCGTGGCAGAAAATGGGGGTGCAGCTTATACTCCAGTGCGGCTTATACTCCAGAAAATACGGTGTAACAATTGCTCGTTGACTTGGCCGGCTATTTTACTGTATCTTTTTTTTTATCCATTGTATCTTTTGTTCTTCGCATCTGTGTTCTGTTCTGCAGCTGCTGGCTGTCAACCGAGTATGGCACCAACTTCGCATTCATCGTGCCTTGTGCCACCATTATTGTGGTAAGTCAGAGCACCGCTCTCAGGGCAAGGACACCATGAGCGACATGGATACATTGTCCCATGTTAAATGTTTGAATAGGCGGCGCGGAGATAATAAGCTGATAACCGTAAGATAGACTCGGATGGAGAGCCAAGGATAAATTATTTATAGTAAAGAAAAAAGGACCAAGAAACTAAAAATGTTCGGTTAATGCTGGAGTTAACCGTTGTTAACAGTCACATACCATTGCTTCGCTGTTGGCCTTTATAACGGGTTGCATAACCCTCCTTACGTGTGTGCACAATCTTGCTCTCTCTACATACTGCTGTGTATCATAGACATCACATGCCCACGCTCTGCGCATGCGCAGATTTCCTGTGCGCACAACAGAGCTTGCTGTCTTTCCAGTTTCCTTGCCTGCAGTCAGCTTTCAAATTCTGACCCACCCTCCTCATCCCATTTCTTACTCTTACACTCCACTCCATATATTTTGAAACACATGGATGCGGGCACTCCTCCGTAACTGGCCTCTCGCGCACTACTATTAAACTCGCATGGGTCATAAACCGCTCCTGCTCAACGCAGGCCGACCCACCAACTCGCATGGGTCACAAACCGCTCCTGCTCAGCGCAGGCCGACCCACTTGGTCATATACAGCTCCTGCCCTCGGTAGGCCGACCACACAATTCGTTAACGCGCACTCAATTGAGGCCAGCTACTCTGCCCGACATTCCCATTCTTCCAAACTCACTCTCTTGTCTTTTGGTGTGTCGCGTCCTGCACGCGTGTGTGTCTACTCTATACTCTAGCATGGGGAGTAGAATGTTAAGTTACGCTATAATGTCCACTAACACCACCAGTTACTAAACAATCAGCTCATGCGATAACATTGCACGACACTGACCTACGGTAACTTACTGACGTTCTACAACTAACTGGCTAACAGCTCTAGCACATCTTGGATGCGCACGCCAACAGCCTTCCAACTTGGAAGGTTCTAAGTTAAAGAAATAACATGAGTTTATTGCGTAACTTGTAGTTTCTTGGTCCTTTTTTCTTTACTATAAACCGCAAGATAGCTATGAATAAAATGAAACCCGCCCTCATGTCACAAAACAAAGTAGCAATGGTCTGGTTTGCACGGACAAGGTCAGAGCTAATCAAAAGGTCAGCATTAATGACAGACAGCTCAGGAACTACAAATGCAACGATACAGGTAGGCGTCAACTGGCGGGTCCATCCTGCCGTCGAATCAGTAATTGAATTGACCCCGAAATTGGCAGGGCTTCGCCATCCAGGGCGAGGAGCTTCTCCTCCTTCACCGACGAAACTTTGTTGCACAGCTTCGCAATGTTTGTGACTTGGCTCGTCTTAGTCAGACTGTCGTAATCGCTGTTTTCTGTGTTCGAACATTGGTGCGACCCTTCCTGCGCAAGGTCTACTTGTTACTGAAGCCGTGGTGGTCTCAAACTTTGTCGGAGCTCTCATCCGCACCAAGCAAATTCATCGCGATCCGCACTATTCCGCCCCAGAGCGCATATCGTTTTTCTGGAGTTCCACACCGTTCGCGTGGGCATTTATCAGGACTGCAAGCTCGGGTATAAGAATCCTGGTATCTACCCTGAATACAAAATGCTGAAGTTGACGATGGCAAGAACAAAGTGTTCTCAAATTCCTATAATGCGCCACAAGAATGCGCCACTTGTGGCGCATGTTGCTGCGAAGGTAGCAGGTCTGAAAAGTGAAAACACCCACAAAATCAGCAAAGCGTTTGCCAAGGAAAGAAGGTGCGGAACTGCTTACCCTATCCCGCTGAAAGTTCGTTACAGTGTGCTAGAAAAATGCTAGCTTGCCTTCATCGCCTGCCACCTGGAGGCGTGGATTGCTTGAAAACGAAGTTTCTTGACTTGAATTTGAACGCGTGTCTTCTTCAGCGTATTTTTGAAGGGTCTGCCCCACACTCTGATGAAGACGTCGACCTTAGCTGCAAGTGCAGCAAAGCGGGAGGCCACAAACTAAAGCTTGGTCCGTCGACAATGCTCTGCCTCAATTTCTAGCTGATTTCTTTGCCCTTCGAGTGGACAAAATAAATTCGAAAAATCGCCCTGGGAAGCGACAATTTTAATGACGCGGAGGAAGTATAAAGCTGGACGACACTAACTTACGAGCAGACCCGATATCAAACATGGCCTCTCCACGACACCACTCATCTGGCTTGGCCGACTCGACGTCCACATGTTGATGGGGGGGGGGTTGACCACATGGAACATGATGGTTTATCTGGCCAACATATGTGAATGTTTTCGTGTTACCATGCATGCAACGTTGTATCCAGCCTTGAGTGTGTCTCTCTGTTGCACCACCGTACGTTTTGTATCTTTCATCAAGGTGAACGTTGTCCTACTCAGCAGAGTTTGGCTTGCCTTGAAGGAGAGCGCCAACTTCTCTCGCAGACATTCTCGTACAGGACGAGTAATCCAAGATCTAGAGTAAGGACGTCTCTTCCTGGTAGTCTACATTACATTGTACATGCTGCTTTAGTCGTGTTTTAGGAAGTCTGTGTCCATTCAATGCATTCAATTATAGACTGATAGACCTACAGGAATTCTCATGGCTTCTCCTTATTGCAATGAACAATAAACTTCCCATTGGTAAACTTCACTTCATGCACTCCTTTAGCGGTCGTCGTCAAACATCCCCTGTCTCACTCACTCTCACTCGCACATTCTCTCAATCTCTCCCTCTCTCATCCCTCTCTCTCTCTCTCTCTCTCTCTCTCTCTTTCTCTCTCGTTTCTCCCTTGCAGGTTCAGCTCACGTGTACGTCGCATGCTTTGCTACGTACCATTCATCGGTGTCACGTGGATAGCTGGGTTCTTTGCGGTAGACAGCAAATCCAGTGCACTGCACTATGTCTTCACTGTGCTCAATTTATCACAGGTAAACTGCAGGGACGTCGGACAGAGTACGGTCACTACGGTATTGACCATACCACTTTTTGCCCCAGGTACCCCGTGAATCAATAAAACACACTAATCGGGACTCTTAAATTCCCAAAATGTTCGGCTCAGCCATCCCTCCCCCACGAGTAAACTATACTTCAGATGGCTGACCGTACCACACTCAAATACCTTCCGATGCCCCTGTAATGATGGCTAGTATTGCATATGTGTACTGGTGTGCATGTGTGTATTTTACTGTTCAGAAATATTACTCTTGCTCATTGTTTGGATTGCCCAAGTGCTCACAGGAGCCCATTTATTTTGTATTTTTCATGTACAAGCCCCAGTGCTCTCAGGAACCCATGCGTTGGGTATAGTCTGGCTACAGAAGATAGCCACAGACGCCACTGCACCACCGACATGATGGCAAGCATGTATACAGTCCCGCTAGAACTAGCTTGAATTCCACTGTGAGCATCATGATGTGTACTGCTGCTGCTGCTGCTGCTGTGCCCTGCAGGGAGTATTTCTATTCTTTCTCAACATCGTCACACCGGATTCTGTGAGTATGCGTCCACTCTGCGTAGCAGTGTGGCTGTAACTTACAGTAGTATAGTTTTGAGCACACATGCTCTTTCCCTCAGCAAAGCAAATTATCCTACTCAGTACGCTGTATCAGTTTCAACGACATTTCGGCAAATTGCCATCATCAGGTCGACTCACCCCTATTACTTACTGTTGTATGGTTGCTATAAACACTGTTTGATGAACAGTTAAGAGTAGAGGCCACACGCTCTCTTCCATTTTAACACTGCAATAGTTCAACTCATTTCACAATAATTATTCTAACGTTTCGGCAAATTGCCTTTATCAGGTTGATGGTTGTCTTGTTACAGGAAATTCCAACTGCCACAGTGATCAGTGAACCACATAACATGACGAGGGACTGCTCGATAATCAGCGTTTCAGCAAATATACAAATGTTCTGAGAACGAGATTCAGCATGTTTACATAATATGGAGATGCATTAGTACCATTCAAGTCGAGAGGAGGGGGGGGGGGTAATATCATTCACTATTCGGACTAGGGAGGGGTCAGTCAGACATCTAAATCCTTTAGATTATATCCTTGAGCTGTTGTTCTTTCCCATGGCACTATGGCTGCAGATTCGACGTCGAATCCGCCGCTCTGTGAGCAAAAAGTCTATAAGTGGCCGTCGCTCAGGTAGCCTCCGCCGTGCCAGCCAGAGCTCCTTCAGTCTGGACAGTAGCAGCAGTGGAATGCCCATGGCCAGACCTCCACTACAACAGCCCGACTTAGACCTGGTATGCATGGTGGAGTGTTGTCAAATATCACTCTGTGTGTGTGTGGGGGGGGGGGGGTGTTTGTTTTCAGACAATTTAAGCTCCTGTGCAGATAATGCCTCTCCGTGTGGTGAACATGAATGTTCGTTCATTTGGCTGGCCCTAGTGACCTAGTGGCTGTAGCATACCATGCAACATACAATGTAGTACTGTGTTATACTGTAACCATGCAACATGAGATATAGTACTGTGTAACACACCGTACATAATCGGCTAGTGAAGCTACACGGTGTGTGGTTTCTGGTACATGCTCAATGAGATTACTGTTCTTAGCATGAACATGGCAGTTACGACTCTGCTGCCTTTGCCCCTCTGCTATGTGAAATCAGGAACTTTTGCGACATGTTTGAAAGGTCAGGCATCTGGGTGTGTTGATAGCTCATTCAATGCTGTGTGTCTAGAACTGATCCTTCCCATGCAATACTGGTGATCTTCGTTTGACTTTCTCTCAGATCGGTGATGAAGGAGTGGATTCAACAGTACGTGAAAGGAGAGGTTAGTAGAAGCCTAATGACTTGATTTGCTGAACACCTTAGCCGCCCGAGGAGTGGTCATACTCACAAGCTCAGGGCCCACAGATATGTTGAAATTTGCAGCTTCCATTTTGTTCAAATGACAGATAAATGTCCTGGCTACCTAATAATGTGCGTGGGGCTCTAGCTTTAGAAGGCGATGTTGTCGCACTTTTCGTCACTGATTCTGCTGTTGCTTGCTGTGGAGAAGAAATAGATTACACACTTTCCGCTTACCTGTGTGATGGCAGCACCACGTGGTGCGGTGAAGTGAACTTAGAGAGGCATGTGCACTCTGCACACGCTCACCGCCTGAGTGTGCCACTGTATGCCAGGCATGCAACCTGCATTTGCCACTGACTCATGGCATCAAAATCCAAGATACCCTGGACATGTTTGAAGACCGCAATACGGACATGGTGTCCTGAAAAACTGAGCTCTGTCACCATAGTCTAAGGGCAACAGGGACATCGCGATAGTACACAGGCACTTGGCAGGGCATTGGCAGGGGAGTGTGTGTTTCCTGTGTGCCTGTGCCTCTAACTATGCCAATGCATGCATCTGTGTGTGTGTGTGTGTGTGTGTGTGTGTGTGTCCACACGTGTTTTCATTCAAGGGACTAATGTGTCATATTGCGATCTTGAAGGGAACCCAACGTCAGTGTCGTTTGCCGACTCTAGCAGAGTTGTAGTGGTCTCAAGTGGTGGCCCATCGGAACGTTCAACACCACCCGAAAGCTCGGCTCCATGCTCTGATGATGATGACGATGATCTCCTTGAGAATGCAGGACCCATCCCACATGTGGTGAGGGATAGAAGGGTGACGCCTAGTGGTGTCGCGTGAGGCAAGGCACATATGATCACCTTGTGTTGTCCAATGATGTGATGTAAGGCAAGGCCCATCACCTTGTTCTAATACCTTGTTCTGCATCTCTGTACTCGTAAACACCTGTTCCATTTTCTATCCAGGAGACGGATCCTTTTCCAACGTGTGGTGTCGAATAGTATCTTCATTTGTTCTTTGTTTTTACTGTTGCGTGTGCTGTTGTGTTTGCTGTTCATGCAATAGCCATCAAGCTTGCATCAGATAGTGAAGCGGATCAGCATGGCTAGTCTGCATGTATTGCATGATCGCATCCAGGGCACCTTTAGTAGCACACGCTTGCATCGCAGCTACTCTAGGGTAAGACTGGAGATTGCTTGTGTGACTTAAAAGAGCAATAACATTATAATCTCTCAGCATGCGCGTGACGACATGTATGTTTCAAACGACTTCTTCCTGTGCATCCGTATATTTAGAAAAAGCGATCCTGTCAGCTTTTCTATTATTGTGGTCACATATGTAGCAGGTGGTGGTTGATTGTTGCCATGGAGTGATCAGCATGCGCTACAGTGAGTTCATGTTGGCATAGGAGAAGGGTGCATTGCTAGGTTGTCCTTGGAAGCTGTCCAGTAGCCAAGGTCATGTTGTCTAATACTGGATGTAGACTCTCAATTTCAGCTGGGTTAATCCTAGGTACCATTTTGCGCTGCTTTTGTACTGTATTCATCACATTAAGGCGTCCACCAGAGATCCTGATGAGGATTTTGCAGGAAAACCCAGACCACCAGGGAAGGTCACTGGAAAATCACCGCAGCTCTCTGAACCCAGAGGCAAGAGCACGAACTGGACCAAAGCAGGCTCTAGTAATGATGATGGTAGTGACACTATTGGAGCTATCAGTGCTGGGCGCCAGCGTCACTTGACATCGCCCGCAGGACTGCCCACCACATCATCACCCATCCAGCAGCAACGACCAGCTACATCGCAGCACCAACGTGCATCACCGCTAGCCATGCTGGCTCGATGCTTGACACCGGACGCGAATGAAGGTACGGCAGAAGAAGAGGGAGAAAGTTTGGTACATGGAGAGTTTATTAGGGTCACTGCTGCCGACCATGATTGCGATCCACCGCCATACCACACGGTTGCGGCACTCACAGTACCCACAGCTTGTAGTCACACTAGTATCCCTGGTCATGGTCCCGTCACCACGGCTACGACAAGTGGTATTCCTGGTCATGCTGCTGTCACCACGGCTACGCACAGTGGTGTTCCTGGTCGTGGTGTCGTAAACACGACGGCGCACAGTGCACTGTCAATGAACGATCTCAACTACTCATATGCCTCGTTGATCAGCCCGGTTTCGTTTGTTTCCGGGCATAACGGTGGTGACACCGGGTCTGACAATCAGCTGGCCAGCCAGTAAATCCATTAATCTAAATTGTGTCAGAAATGCTATCCAGGTCTGCGGGAACAGCTTCATAATAATATGGACAAGAATACGTGTTATTATTTTCTGCAGGCATAAAGATGCCAGATGCGAGGTGTTAGTGATCCGTTTTCCGGGCATATACATGTACGTGCCTTGCACTCTCGTTAGGCTGTTTGTGATGCTGTCCCGAAAACACAGCTTATAAGTTATGATAATTATGAGATGTTTCAAATCTTTATTCTCCCGTTATTTTTATTCTGCTGATTATCGGAGCGTTAATTTCTTACCAAGTCTGACAAAATTATATTCACGATTGCTGTTCTTTCTTGATGTTATTTTTGCTGCCAGGGTCGGTTATTTTCCAACAAAGGACAATTTGTGGATCCTGTTGATTTCTTGAAGTTACTCTGTAGAATGGGGGTCCCGTTTATCAACAATAAACTATGTTTTGTCCTGTACTGCACTACGGCCACCAGGGACAGGGACACCCATTCACCACTTCTCTTCTCATTTTTCAACCTGTAACGTTATAATATTATAATTTATTTCTCCTCAGCAGGTCATTTGTCATCAACCACCGATTGATGAAAAATCTGTACAGGCCCAGAAGCTGCCGCTTACTACCGCTTTATTTTTATCAGGTCATTTTCCAGAAAGTAAAGGTGGCAACCACAGCAATGGTGAAAGATACGTTAGTGCGTGAATTGGCACGTCTGTAGTGACCCAAACATTGGCAGTTATAAGGACAAAGTGCAATAGTGGCACATTTCGCAAGGGAGACATTTCAAGTGATGAGCTTCTGCTGCTTGATCAGATGGCTCAAAGTTCCGAAGGTATTTTGAAGGTATTTTTGCTCTCGCGGCAGCACTAGGCCTTGGGCATCAAGCTCTCTATTGGACAGCCTGGAACCTTTCTCTTTTATATTCCAGGGATAAATCCGTTGATCCCCGAGCTGCAGAGAGTGCTCAATGTCAGAGACAGAGCTTGGAACATAGCAGACCGTGGCTCAGCGGAGGACGTTCAGGTTGGCTGTAACTCTGAGTTTCATGCCGCTAGGCAATCATGAGACAACTGAAGGGATAATAATGAAACAGTTCCCATCACTGAGATCACCTATGGGGTTGACACGGCTGTCGGTAAATGAGAGTATAACAAGAAAAACACGATCTCTCCATTCTGTTGTTGCCGGGAAATCTGCCGCGATTCCATCTATGGGCGTAAGCATGAAGAAACTTATGGTAATTATTTTAGTATTTTGTTTCAGGATGCAGCTAATAGGATTTCGGTCTTTGACCACTTGGTGGTGGGTCTGATCTACTCACCTCCCACCGGTTAGGCCTTTGATCCTATAGGGTGGTGGCGTTCCCACGTCGGATGCGGAAAACCCGGCTTCCAGCGAGTCTCAGAACCGCGAAATTTATTTTTTATTATTTTTGTTTCAGGGCCCTCTCTGCTTTACGCAAGAAAGCCATAGGACATTAGATTTTTTCATTGTATACCCCTCCCCCTCCTTCCTTCTTGCACTGCCACGACTGGCTATGTGGCCCCATAGCCCCCCCCCCCCCCACACACACACACACATGCACGCACACCACCCCCCCCCCCCCCACACACACCTGTACTGTACTGTGTACACAGATCACTGGCATACAGTCACGCACACACACACACGCACACGCACGCACACACACACACACACACACACACACACACACACACTGTGACACACACACACACACACACACACACACACACACACACACACATGCACACACATACACAGCCGCAGCACTACAGCCTACTGAGTTGTATGTGGTACGATTTTTTGAGATAAAGAGTTGTAAAATTCATGTCCTGACAACACATAATGGTCATGTGACTAGTCGAACTGAACAAGTAAACGCTGTTGCGTGAACTAGTTTGATACCGGCAGCAAGCAAAAGAAAAACAGCTGTGCAATAGGCGGCAGATGTGGCTGTGCAGCTGGCGATTTCATCATCTACGAATTTGGCAGGAAAGCACCTACGGCCAGTGGCCAATTGCCACACAGATTCGACTGCAGCATCCCAATGGAGCATTGCTGACGTCGGCTGATTGCCTGGGTTCATTTGCCACTACTGAATGTAACACTCATAGAACGGAGAAAGGAGAAATTAGGAATGGACCTAAGGAGACAAAGTAATTAGGAATAGACCTGCATGGACCTAGGAGACAACAGCAGAAAGTGAGGTCCCTGCCGCAGTCGACTGGCTTAGCCAAGCGAGCTGCCGAGAGGGCAAAGCAAGCGCAGAAATGGTGAGCAAAACGAGAGAGACAAACTCTAACAGATATGCTTTGCTTAAAACAACAAACCAGTGCAGGGAAAACATGTGGAGCGCGTGCGTAAAGGAAGCTAGGCGAAAGTAGAGGCTAGCGAATAGATGCGTATAGAGCCAGCTTCAGCTGCTGCTGCTGCAATGGGTAACAAGTAGAACTAGTAGTCTTGCCTTACTTCCAAAAATAAGACGATCTTGCTGCAATAAATCTGAAATTGGAAAAAAAGTTCACAGCGCGTTCAAACCTCCAACACGCACCACGGTAGCAGCGAGTAGGAAAGAGCAAGGTTGGCTGCATGTTCCTTGTCATCAGCATCACGTGTGCAGTGTTTGGTAACTAAACTCACCAAAAGTTGAGGTAGACAATTTTGCAATGCTCATTTCTGATAGGCAACAGGGGAAACGAGTCTCAAGGCATTCAGAAATGCAGAAAACTAGAAGCAGGTAGGAACAAAGCCACCAACGAGAGAGATTGTCTTTGAGGGTCTCAACAGAACGTGCACAGCAAACAAGTCGACAAGGACAAACAGACTCACCAAAGACAGCACAAACCAGCTTGACGTCTTGCCACACGACCACACACGCACGCATGCACACACACACACACACACACACACACACACACACACACACACACACACACACACACACGTACACTCACACACCAGAACACTGACAGACAACAAAATATTCTCCGCACTCGCGCGTACGCTAGGCTAGGCGTACTGTGGACTACTACACGAAGCACTCCCCGACCTTCAGGCCAGCCTAAGATTCGGGTGAGCACCACGCTATGCCGCTGTGAGGAAGTGATCCACAGTGCTCTGGTGGTCATGTGGGTAGAAGTTGCCTCCATCATCACTCATTAGGCGGCCGTATTGAGATGGGCCACTCTCGAAATGGAGAGGAATTTCAGGGAGGACACTCTGGGTCGGCTCTGATTTCGTCGAGGAGATGAAATTCATCGACTGAACTGGATCTCTCCCTCCATTGGGTGGCGTCGACTCTGATCTTGCCTGAATGGCAAAAGTAGTTTGGACCATATCGAAATCATTCACGTCGCCAATGCGTCTGGCCTCCAGCTCCACCGGGGACACTGCAACCCCAACACTGTCAAAATGGAGAGGAATTTCAGGGAGGCCACGCCGTATCGGCTCCGATTTCACTGAGGAGATCAAATTCCTCGACCGACCTGGATCTCTCCGTCCATTAGACTCGGATTTTGTCCGACTTCTGACAGCGGTTTCAACCGAGTCGAAACCATTCGCCTTGCCAACCATTGTGGCCGTGGAGCTGCCAACCCTGATGGAACCGTGACCGGTGTCTCGATGGGAAACGTACGAGTCGACGCTCGTGCTCGACGGCGCCGGAAAGAGCGGGTCATGCACTGGAGGCACTACTTCCATATTCAAGTACATCCCGGAGCGCATGGCCAGTTCAGGTGCACTTCCCCAGGTAGCACGTGTCTCAGGCACCTGGTCAGCGGGACTTGACACTTCTTCCATTGGCTCACCGTACTCTCTCTTGAAAGCCGCCACAGCGGCGGCGTGTTGCTGGACGTTGTTGTCCACGTCGAATCGCTGACCCTCCTCCATGACAGCGTACTGCTGTGGCAGCTTGCAGTTGATGTAGACCTTGACAATGTCCGGTAGGACGAGTTCTTCAACACAGCCGTCGGCAATCCGCCGTGCACCCATGGCCTTGCGGATAGAGTTTCTTGCCAACGTCATCAGCGGCTTCACTTCACCTGGCAACACACAGGAAGCACACACACACACACACACACACAGGGGAAAGGGAGAGTATCACATGCATGATACGATGATGTGCAGTACTGCTCAATGAAATCCAGTCGCGTCACTTAAGTACGCGCCGGCACTGGGCGTTGCGCAGCCATAGATCTGCGAACCCTGGGCTGGGGAATGATGCAAGGAGCAAACTGGAGTGACGCGACTGGATTTCATTGAGCAGCACTGTAGCTGCAACATCAGCACAACAGAGTCAATTATCCAGCCTAGCCCGGTTCCCTAGGCGGACCTTGAACAATTATCGGTTGCATTGCCACAGGTGTAAAGCACTACCTTGACAGCCAGCAAAATACCTCCCCTACCTGGACAGGGCTGTAAACATAGATTGGAAAATTAACACAGTGCCGGTACATCATCCAAGGCGCATTTCACTAGCAACAACGCAAGCAACCAGCAGCAACAATGCCCCTCTGTGAAGTGTGCCAAGCGGAACATTTCCCTGGGCGAGCCACTGTATGTGATACATCAGTGCCCTGTCAGTGCAATGCCCTCTCAGGATATTCCTTGGTCACATGACATGGGCATATGCATGGTCTACCTAGTCTGTACGTGATGCGTGGGGACAGGTCATGTGACATATTTTCCAGTAAAATGAATCATGTCATGCGACCTGTGATGTCATCAAGGAAGATTCTCCACATGCATCTCGACCTATTGAGGTAAACCTACCTGGATAAGTGCTGCCAAGATACTTCATTTCAACTTGACAGTTGCCCCAAACGGCAGACGCCGCTGCGTAGACCGTCTGGCCTTTGAGCCCAGTGAAAGCGATTCCCTGGTAGCGGCTGTCCACCTCAAACGCCACCGTTCCCTTGTCCATGTCGACGATCATGACCACCACCGTGGGTATCTGCTCGAGAGGACGCTGCGTCTGGTTGGGGTACTCGTAGCGTGATCTCTTCCCGCCATGGTACAGGCCACGTTTTGACAGGTCCCATCCCCAGCTGTTCTTGGTTGAGCCGAGTAAGTGTGTGTAGCCGCGGGCAAAGAGCGGAGTGGCCTCCGTGCAAACACCTGAAGCATGACAACACAACAAAGAAGAGGAAAATTTGTGATTAATCATGCCAAAACTGTAATAGTTAGGAAACTTCACTTCTCAACTCCAAGAAGTAATAGTTGTCATGGCATCAAATGATCGGCATGGTTACAACCGGGCAGAGTGAAGCGGCTAGCTTGTTCTCGCAGCGCAAGACATGCTACACATTCATTAGAATATTCCTGCAGGTAATGAGTCCTGCATATGGCACAATGCCCCACACATGCACAACCGCAGTAGCTTACACACAGTAGGGGCCTGCCCTGCCAAAGTATCACACAACGTCACACCAGCACACACTGACACATGTGACAATGAAAGCTGCGACACTTACGCACAGAAAAACAGGACTCATGCACACAAACAGGACTCGCGCACACAAGCAGCACCCATGCATACAAACAGGACTCTGCATACAAACAGGACTCCCACGTGATCTCCAAGCCTGCCCACCCCATCAAGCACGTTGCCCTGCACACTCAAAGACATGTGGGAACTCAGAACACCTGCCACTGACACCTAATTAGGATCCCCTATCTGAGATTAGAGATTGGTATCTCCTCAATACATGTACATACACCACACTGGTGATTATCTTGTACATACACCACACTGGTGACTATCTTGGCTATCTCACAACAAGACACCCACCACAATGTGACAGCTGTGCCAGTATTCAGACCTTGGCTATGCGCCACACTGGGTGACTTGATCAAGATGGTATCACCTGGACTAGATTCTCACAGTCCCTAAATGCTGCTCTCTCAACAAACCCTAAGTACCCTGTAATAGATAGGCCGGAACTTCTTCATAACCACTCCCTTACTTGGGGCAACCTGCTCACATGCATATTTGTGTGGTTTCCACTGACCTGATAGGCACTTATGAATGTGTTGACTCATAGTCATACTGTTGAGAGCAAAGTCTACTGTCTAGAACCTTCCAAAGAATACAGTACTGTGTGCAACATTAGGATGGACCATCACACTATCCGCCATGGACAGATAGGAAAGCAGGCAACAATATCAAGCTGCTGTGCATGATATAATATTATATCATGCACAGCAGCTTGATATTGTTGCCTGCTTTCCTATCATTATGATTTTCAGGGAAAATTATGGCTGCAGGTCAGTTTCTAGTGAAGCATGTGTCCTAGTGCCAAGTAGTGGTCCCCTTGATCACAGCTCTGGCTTGGCCCACACCCAGTGCTTGATTCTTGATACATGATTACACAGTGCATGAACTTGTACCCATAGTATATGCACACAGTGTAGGCACACTGTGCAGTGCACGCACACTATGCAGTGCAGAGGTCCCACACTGGGCCACAGTGCACAAATGCTCTGCAGCAGTGCTTCCTACTCAACTCCCATTGAGATTATCACTGGCACTCAGCAGGACTTTGCTGACTTCCGCACACATGGACTGGAACTGAGCATGCAGACAGTCATGGCTATGCACGCCACACAGCCATGATGCTGTTCCAAGTTATGTACATGACTGTACAAGCAGTGCAGTAATACATAATCTCAAACTGATCACCACCGGAGCAGAGAGCGGTCCTTCAAAACGCCCTCCAAGGAACCACTACAATAGACGCGGCCACCATCCTAAATACAGTATGACTGACCAGACCAAGAAACACTTGGAACATTACAACGCCCCAAGGCAATGCTGTATTAAGTCCTTCTAGCCCACCTAAATAATTGATTAGCAATTATTGTAGAATTCTGCAACCCATGTGATCCCGTCTGCAGAATCAGCTGATCCAGTCTGAAGAATCAGCTGATCAGCTGATGGAGTAAGTGAGAAAGTTTTTGGCAGCAATGCAGTCAGGACACCAGTCATTACAGGAGCATACTGCTGCATGTCCTGAACATGTTCAAGAACTCAGGAATTGAACTCCAGCAAACACAAAACTCCCACTGGCACATTCCACCTCTACTCTAGTAGAAAGCTGCAGTCCCCACTTGGCTTCCAAAGTTTGAGTGCTGCCCAGCAGCATACCCAACAACACCTCCACACAACACATTGACACAGCAACTGTTACCTTATGCTATACTGTATACATGTGGGTGGTGGGGGGGGGGCTGCATGCAAGGCAGGTTTGAGTCTTCTACACATAATGCTGATATGGGATTCTGGTGTGTTTTTGCTGATTGGGTCAAGACAATGGAATGTCAACAATGCACTAACACAAAACACTGAACACCCTATACACACCAGCAGGCATTGCTGTCACGTCAGCCACAGTCAGCTGATTGAGCAGGGCCCTTCCAGACATCATCTTCTACAAAAATGGGATCTCTCCAAACTTGCACCAGTCTTGCCCAATGTCAACACAGGAACAACCCAAGGGCAAAGGTGATAGAATGACTATGTACTTCAGTACAACCAAACTTCCAAAGTCACACATTCCACAGGCACACATCAGCATGCATGAATATTCTGCTTTCATGAGTCTCTTAGACCTTAGGCTTGGATCAAAGTACACTGAGCTCAAACATGACAGCCTTCCTCAGTTCGTTTTGATGACTCCCACTTCTCTCATCACAAGATGGGCAGTGCGCCAAGTTTCAAGGTTCCCTTCACCACTGAGGAAATTCTTCGCCGGCATACTTCACATGGGCTGGCTATGAGGCCATCATTAAACAAAAGCAGACAGTCCTCATGATCTGATGCATGCTTCACTCCTTTCACTGGAGCACTTTCATCAGAAAAGCTAGCTCATATACATGTACCCCTAAGCCTTCTTTCACCTCCTTTTACTGGAAAGTTTCACCAGAAAGCTAACTTGTACCCCCCCCCCCCCCCCAGCATTCTTCCTTTCCCCAGAAAGGTAAACTGTCTACCCGTGCATAAGCTGTGGCCATCCCTTAGGTCAAGCAGAACATGATTGTGTACTAGTACTTCAGTACTTTAGTACAAAACTGATAGTTGCAAGCATTCATGTAGGGTTGAGAGGAATGGCATCATCGCCATCCAGCAGTACTAAACCAGCCAAGAAGCTGTTCAATGGCTTACAGCCAATACATGAACAATTCTTGTCCCTTTGAAACCAGGCCTTGGGGGCCAAAACACCCTTTCATTACTAACATGAATCACAGCATAGACACGAAAATTTAATAACCCCAAATGAATGGGGGAATTGTGTAATTTTGAGTGGTCTTTGAGGGTAAGGATTGTATTGGAAACTGGTGCTCCTGAGCAGTAGATGCGCATGCTACTCATGCATGGCTGGCACCGGGGCCATCACTACATGCCTAAGTGGCAGAAACACAATGAAACACAGCCGATCATTACAATACAATTATGTACAACTGCCCATCCACTCCTGTAATTACAATACAAGAAGCATTAATGGGTCTCTCACTGCATCTCGCCCGGCACACTGAACAGAATAGCAATCCAAGGACATCCATTGCTACTGGTTTACCACCTGTAGTGTCCAAGTAGCTCTACAAAGAAGTCATGGACGATGGGATTATAAACTACTGTGCGGGGGGGGGGGGGGGCACATCCTATGCTAAACCAACATGGCCCTACTACAGAGCAAAGCCCTGCACCCAGCCATATCAAGATCTAACAAAATGTAATCATGCAATCATGTTGCACCCTGATCAAGCAAAAGCTGGACCAGTTGAGGTTTGTGTATGCACTGCCAAAAACGACAGTGCTGCTCAATGAAATCAGATCACGTGAGTCAGGTTTGCGCCTTGCACAATTATTATTTCGCAGCCCAGCCTTCCCAGATCTAGGGCTGCGCAACGCCGGGCGCATACACAAGTGACTCCACTGGATTTCGTTGACCACTACTGTACCATCTAAATGCAGTTTCCCTATCTCCTAACATTGTCATGGGGCCTCTCCCCACAACCAATCAGATATATAGCAGATTCTAAACTAGTCATACCACTAATCTGACAATTAGTCCTTATCATTCGATATGGCACTCGACTTTGTTTTCCCTCCAGAAGCCCAGAGTGTTAGGTAGGCAGGTGGAGCTAGTGTTAGAGCAGTATAGCCTCAAACTGACAACAACCAGTTGCTCTTTGATAGAGTAAACTTCCCCGCTCAACACGCACCGCATCACGTGGCAAAAGCCTGATGGTACTACTGCTCCAGCAACTCTGGCCGCGCATATGTTCCTTTGCCAGTTGACGCAGGATCACCCACTGCCAACAGGAGATCTTGCTTCTTCATTTCCCCACTCCCACCAGTCATTATGCAAATCCAAATCATCTTTTTTCGGCACCAGGAAGGGAAAGCTTTGCTCTTTCTGGATATCATGGCATGCCAGCTGTGCCGTAGATTGGAAAATGAGGCCATGCCACATAGACTTCTGATACTTCCCTACGCCATCCTGGGGCTATATGGGGGACCATACCACAAATACCCATTACTTTTCTCCACAACACACAATACTTACTAGCACATCACTAGCCAGTTTCACCGGCACCTACCAATTTCAAAACGAACACACCATCATCCATCACCGTTTGCCAATATCAAATACCCATGTTCAGACTTTGTATTTCCTGACCTGCCAACTCAAATTGCCTTCGCACGCGATGCCAGCAACATTTCAAGCTAGGGACAAAGCAGGCCGGACGGACATGAACATGATACGACTTCACAGAATACGAATGCACAAACGGAACACAGGAACTCCATTACATGATGGTAGACATAAGAAAACTAACAAATGTCTATACCGCCAAGTCAAACACAATCGCCCAGAAAGAGCCACGTGTTTCCAGCAATGTGTTTCCACTGAGCAAGGTGACACCACCTACTGTGCTATTTTAAACCACAACAAACGAAAAACGGGCACTGAACTGGAACATGACATTACTCTGTCTACCAGAGTGCGTCAAGAATTGCGTCCCATCTGTTCTGGTTGTTACCGCAGCAGCAGCAGTGGATGACTACTAACACTGATGGTTCAGAACAGGATGTCTGTCTAAGTCTACAGCGGAGAGGCCTTTGCGACAGTGGTAGTAGATTGAACATACAATTTGTATATCTCATGTGCATCAGCTCTCAGCAAACACAATAATTCGATACTAGTAGCTGACTGCCCTTCCAAACGTCATTCAGGTCATAACAGTGCTCAGCAAAGAAAAATGATTCGCATGATCTTCAAGAAATGCCAAAATGGTCCACCCCAATACTAGGCAATAGCTTGGGCGCCAGCTAGATGCAATCTCCCAGTGAAAGTGGTGCATCAGGCAGCTAGAAAATGCAACCCAGCACCAGGAACGAGGATAGCATTGAGCTGACGTGCGGACTTGCAGACACAAGAACAGGAGCATCGACAAACTAGCACCTGATCCTACAGGAACTCGGAACACAGAAAATTCTCTGCAACGCTTGTCAACAGGCCACAGGCACCTTGTCATCAACAACACGTTGCAGACAACCTTGGCTTGCTGTTGCTGTTCGCTAAATATGCATCAAGCTAACACAGTAACAGCTTCCTGACTCAACTCCCAAAACCATCAACATCCAGAACATGTTCGTCATTCTCTCCAAGAAAATCATTATCCAGTGTTTATAGATCTAAAGATTGAATGAGTTCCTGCTACGAGGACAACCAGTCTACTATTTCCTGCTAGAGTTTTTCGAGCGAAATCATGTGATGTCGTTATGATGTAGAGCGGCTGACATGTCCCATTCTCACACATACACGCACACAACGTAAAGGCGTCAATCTCACGTCGCTGTCAGCAGAACCAACACCATGTTCGGACAACGTCGACAATAGACTTCAAATCGCACACACACTCTCCGTCTTCTATTCAGCGCGAACACTCCCAAATCACTAGCTCAACAAGCCGATGAAGCTCTTCTGCGAGCGAGACATTCCCCAGATTCGTGAGGAGTTACACAGGTAGCACGGCGCTCCTTTTGAGGTAGAATGATGTGCAGCAAGATCGATGAGGGAGCTAGCGCCGCCGCGCAGGTCCCACGAACAGCATGCAGTCAAAAAGTCCTTTGGACCTGTCACCACAGTCCTGAGCGCCTCACACATTATTACTAGCCAATACAATCATGTGTATCCACTAGTAGCACTGCCGGTACATAATGCGTCAAATACTGGAAATAGGCGCGATCGCCCACACAACTACTTGAACGCACAGACAGTGTATTGCAAGTGCACAAAGGGGGTCATCTACCTATCCACCCATTCACGTAACGGCGTTGCAACACCCCGGATGAATAGGGCAAGATTCGGCCAAGCGACCTCGGAAGCACACAGTCACCGTCCTTCACCCACGAGTTCGCCTGATGCAACAAAGCACAACGCGATGGATTACACTACACGTACGTAAACACATCGATCATATCAACGAAAAATCTATAGAAACGTGTTTTACTTTGGGGTCGTGTTGCAAATGTCCATACCGTTATCTACCACAAAATACACCAACACAATACGGTACATCAATTTCAAACGAGGACGACCAACCCAATCCCTATGCAAAACTACACATTATTGATAACGACGCAACACAAACTGTTCGCCGTATCTAGAAGACCTCTGGCGCGCTTTCCGTCCGCACAGAAAGGGAAGACTTCCTCTCCACACAAGACAATCTAAATATTCTTATGACCAGACACTTCCCAGCCAGGGTCGGAGCGGGACAAGAAGAACAGCCAAGTCGAAACAACACCACCCTAGCTATATCCGCTGACTCGTAGATCTACGCCTATGGTCAAGTATGGAGCAACAAAACCACTCCGGGCAGACAAAGCAAAGAGCACAAGACACTCTCTGGACCACATCAGCACAACCAACGCGGGTTCATTCACAAGCCACCTAGGGAGAAAACCTATTGCTGCAACGTCTACTGCATACTCAGTCACACGTCTCGCGGGGAATGCCCAAAGATGCTGGTGCAAATTATTGCGGACACCTACAGGCTACACCACCCACTGCTCAAACATGAACTTACTTGCACGTAATTGTACTACTCCTCACTGCCAGAAGAGATTAATTTTTTTACAAAGCGGATGAGTATGATACGAACAACCTCACAAAGGCTACATCGCCGGATACATTGTCATTTTGCTATGAGACACGCTCATAGATCACACCAAGCCGAGAGTGCAAACTCCTGGAGTTTGGCGTGAAACTGATAATAATATTATTGTCGTGATAATGAACAAATAATTGTAACCATGTGTTACACGCAGGGCCGCCACAAAATGAAAACCAAGGCCAAGGGGACGAAGAGAAGAGAAGAATTCGCTTACCTATCACCGCATGGGTTCCACGCTGTTTGATGGGCCAGTTGAATTTCCACAGATGAAGGCCATGCTCCATTGGCAAGCCAGCGCGTGCTAAGTCGGTGCGCTGCGCCACTGGGTAACGATGGAAAGTACATGGGGCTTTCGGGTCGACGGTAATGTTGCCGGAAAACTTAGTCCATGATAGCTGCTCCAGGTCTGCTCGCTTAGCTGCGTCCATGAGACGGCGGTCGAACAGAGCTTCCTGGACTCCTAACGGACGCTCTAGAGATGATAAGCCGTCGACGGAGGACGACTGTTCCATACAGCAAATTCTGCGCTCCAGCTTTCTAGAGTTTGCTGACTCCCGGTTGACTTTGGAGGGCTTAGCCTTGCTTGCTGTGTTCCCCATGCTTGCTAGCGACGCGGTGCTCAAGTCACTTTGGGCACAACTAACAGCATTGTACAAGCTACACAGCTTTCCTAGCACGCTCAGCTAACTTGAAGTCGGTAGAAGCTACCACGCTTCCACACCGACCCAAGGCGAGCGGCCGAGACCTAGCGCCAGACAGAGAGATGCGAGCTAGATGGGGAGAGAGGGAGAGGGAAAACATAAACTGCCCAGGCCAAGAGGCCACGCCGAACACGCCAAGCCACAAGTGAGAGTCGAGGTAATCCCACTACTTGCTAGACTGCGCACACACAGACTCAGTGTGTGGGGCATGCACGCTTCTCACTCAGTCATGTCATGTACCAAGTACAGTCTACAGAGTCACTCAGTGCATGCTCCAGCTAGATGCAGAGTGCACTGCAGTGCACCAATCGACGATGTACGTCAAGCACTCGACTCGCGTGCACACGCGTAGACCTACGCGGCGTAGGTCTTCTAACGGCATGCATGCAGTAACGCACAGTCGTTTTGCCAGGTACTACTACTGGGTCCCATGCACGATACTCGTGAGTCGTGAGTCTACCTGGTCTACAAACTACAGACAGTTGAACTAAAATTTTAAATAACTGATAATTATTAGTACAATAGTCAAAAGTAGATACTACAACAACAACTACAATCATGACTGATTGTATTACATGACTGTACAATCATGTAGGTCTACTATGTCCAGCAGGCAGCAGCCGAAAACTAAAAGAGGTTGTTTTGCAAGTATCTTTCAGTCTCAAGCAGACAACCTGACTCGCGGCTTTGCATGGGTGGAAAGACCATGTCCTACCTAGGGATGTCGAAACGGCTTGTACAGTGTACTACTACTACGTACTAGCAACTAGTGCACTTCTTCATATGCATGAACGTCAACTTGTTTTCAAGGCAACAAGTAGACATAATTATAGTTACTTAGTTGAACAACAGTCTGAACAGACCCCAATTATTTGCCAAAACTAACTACTAGTACGTGTAGTTACTTGGCAAAAGCTTTCTCGTAACTCCGAGTTTTGACTTTCGTGTTCAAAAACACTCATCAGAGGAAGTATTGAAGCACGCAACGTCGCAAGGACCTCAGACACTTTGTGTACATGATTGTACTATAATTATACTGTCCAATACACCACCGGGTCGTCGCTACTTCTTCTTCTCAATTATACTGAAGTACTGTCATGATAATAATTGATATGTGCAATTCATTTTGCAAGTATAAGAGTCATGGACATGTAATCCTGAAATAAAGATTTATTATATTCATGGAATCCAGAAAAAAAGAAATCCAGTCGAATCATGTACAGTGGTCCCTCTATAATCCGGCACCATTTGTGCCACGAAAATCTGCTGGATTAGGGAGGGTGCTGGATTAACAAATCTGATTTACTGCTGCAATGTGCATGAAGAGGACATTTTGGCTACTGAAAATTGTGCTGGTTTATCGAGGGTGCTGGATTATAAAGTGCCGGATTAGAGAGGGACGACTGTATAAACATGATAAACGACTAACGGTTCCGATGGCGATGCGACCACTGCACTACGTACTGACCAGCGCGCTGCATGCAGCGCATAAATGCATGTGTGTACCGCCGGCGCCCTGGGCTGGGGCGGCTAGACGTGCGACCGGATTTCCATGTCCAGCTCTCACGAAACGAGTCGCTTCGCGAAGGTACACGCGTGACGGCGCGACCCGACAAGACGAAGCCTCCGGCGCCCGGAGCCCCATGAGGCTTCAAAAACTCCACTCTCCATATACCAGGAGTACCTATGCTACATGTTTGTGTAGAATACACAATATCAAGAGTACATAACCCCACGGGGTTATACTACAAATTCAAATTTTATTGTAGGCTATGCTCTGCCAGTGCTGGATACTACACCTGACTCCTAGGATCCTGTCCTAATCCCGACTCCCTACCCAGTACCCAGTAGATCTACTCGCGTGATCATGGTGATGAGTTGAGTTGTTGGAGTCAGCTGATCCTTGCTTTCTGCGGTCAGTGTGACTGTGAGACCTCTTTACATGGTGTCAGTGCTGCTCAGTGAAATCCGATCTAGTGACTCGATGATCAGTTTTGCGTCTTGCAGGGCTGGGCCTAGGTCTAGGCTCTAGCCAGGCCTACTACTTACTAGGGCTGCTAGGGCTGCGCAACGCCCGGCGCGAACATGTACTAGTAGTAGTAGTAGTAGTAGTTGACTCAGACGATCGGATTTCGTTGAGCAACCAGTGCCATGGCCCATGGACCACGGGCCTGGGCATGAGGATCCTTTGTCGCAGTTGCGAAATCAAGAACGTCTTCAAAATGAAATGATTGCACTGGCTGTCAAGAACTGTGAGATATGCATGCTACATGTCATGTAGATCCGATCATAGACGGCAGGGATGAGACGACAATGAGGATGGACGGCTGGAGAAAGCCGCACTTTCGTCACTGCGGTACGTCGCGTCGGACAAGAGCCAGACATGATCCGCTGGACCTGCCAATGATTATGTGGCAATGACAATGGCGAATGATGGATTGATGCATGTCACGTCCGTCATATCCGTCAAGGACATAAGCACTGGCAGTACAGTCTGTAACATTAGTGCAGACAGCGGGCTGTTTCAGCATCTAGCCTTCTACTAAGTTCTAGGCGAACTTAGTTATGAACTCTTCGTCCAATGACGTGAGGTACATCATGGTACATAGCCTCATACAATGTCATGTACATGTAGGTCGTTCTGATTCGACAGCTGTGCCATACTTTTTAAAGTTCGCATTGTTGAGATAATTTTTACCATTGACTCTACATTGTAATTATTAAACAGCACGTGACTCAGCAGTACATGTTGGGTACCCGCGTTGGACGGTTGGGTACCAAAGCAGCAGCATCAACACTCATTTCAACAGCTGGCCTGAACACGTCTGAGTTCGTTCCACAAGAATGGGCAATCGGGCACGTACAGTGCATGACAATTGCATTGGCATTCAGGCTGAGTTGGAGTTCATGCCATTGCCAGCACTAAAGCAGTCCGGCAGCTCTAGACGGTAGACCGTCGTCGATCATCAACGCAACGAGATTGCGGTGGGTTCACTGGTGGAATGTACATGTACTTCGAAGTGCATCACACTTGTATTCTTCTTTTCCTACTTCTTAGACCGTGTTATGGTGGTTATCATGGTTCGTGGTCATACATGTACATGTACATTTGTACTAAGTCTTGTAGAACAATGGCCCAACCCAATTAAATGGCTTTCATATCACCTATTATATAAAGGAGGTACGAGTCCTGCACTGATGCTCCGGCACCTTACATTATGACTTGTACTTTTAGGTGCACACATGACCCCAGAGCGATGACGTTCCCCTCACACCAGGATGTTGTTGGGTCTGTGGCTCTGTGCGACTCCCTGCCTCTCACATCACTGCATGAACCTCAAAGTACATGGAAATACTGCACAAGTATCACACTGCCCCGCGTAACTCGCATTGTCTTAGATCAAGCTGAGCGTGGTACGTGGTGCAGTGGTGCATGATTTCATTTGACTTTTACATTGTATATTAAAAGTTTTACTTGGCACGTTCAAACAGGATGACAAGGCCCAGTAATGCCAACGTGGTGGCGACGTACATGTATTTGCCTAGAAAACAACAATGGAAATAGCAACACGCTACTAAGTATATGAAAGATATACATGTGCATGTAGACATCTGCCCAATGTTGTAGCTGCTTTGGCTATCTAGGACTCATCAGTACAGCTATATATGTTCATCATGTACATTTGTATTTTGAAGTACATGATAGTGCAAATCGCCTGGTGATTGCACTCATGGTGCAAGAAGCTGGGACGGTTGCGACGAACTCTGAAAACCTCCTTTGTGCTTTCTGCACTGTGTACAAATGTACATTGTATGTGTTAGGGCGCGGGGATGTTGCTTTTTACCTTATTACCGTTGACTTGTTGTTCCCTTCCCTCTAACCAATTACCTAGCCCAGTCCCCCCCCCCCCCTACATGTACGGCCCGTTTGCTCTACCCTGTCAGTCATGACATGCGCGTGTTGTTGTTGTTGTTTATTTTACTTCGCAGATTCTAACGGGCAAGTAACATAACGGTTAGTTAGTTGCCCTACAAGAAAGTGAAGGCCGTGTCACTGCCGTCAGTGAGACTCGAGAGCTAAGACAAGAGCGAGACATCAGTCAAACATCCCACGTTCCCTATCCCACACACCAGTACATGTCATGTACAACCAGTTATCAGCAGTTGTGGTCTACCCTCGGCGCACAGTCACACTGTATTTAGTCTACCCTCGGCGCACAGTCACACTGTATTTTTAAATGCGAGTACACGTCGCATAGACGTCATAGCTATAATTATAGACAGAAAGATCGAGTCTGGGCAAGTAACCGTAACGACGTAACCATCCATTATTACACTGACTATACCACATCATGCAGTGTTGTATCTTCGAAGTCATGGCTTCAACGACTTACACGTGTGCTATTGTATAGTATATTACAGTAGTTGCGACGGCTTACATGTAGCTACAAGCAGTTATCGCACATAACAGGTTAGCATGTTCCGCACCTACATCGTATAGGTTTATACTACAGCACTTCGCCTGAAAGCTACCATACTCCATAGCTCATACTCATAAGTCGTTCTCCACTTCTCGTTCTCCAGATCACCCCGCCATGATGCCTGGCCTACACACCACAACAAGTAAAGAATGGGGAAGGAACTGGTTATGAACACTACAACAGGGGGTATCTTAGGACTCCATGGTCAGCAATTTCTTGCATGGTTTCGCCTACATTGGAATTTCAATTATGACGTAACTACTACTTCCGTCTACCTATTAGTATTACTCAACTAACTAGTTACTTGAAGTTATTACGTCATCGCCATCTACACTGTTGTCTACTGCATGCCTCCTTGCAATCAGTTCTGCGGTGTTTGCCAAGCTAGGGTATTACTTGACCTTCGCTAGTGGACCGTATCTCATGTTCGATACACTTGCATCGTCAATGCACCTACAAAGGCTACATCATACATGTAGGTGTGTGCGATATATGGCGGCATGGCCTGCCAAAAGGATTGGACGTTCGCAGGAAACAATGAACAATCGCAATTAGCAGCAGCGGAGCGCGACCACCAACGCAATGACTGTAAGACCAAGAGTTGCACAAATCCACTGAATGCATTCAACGCACTGGATGCGACTCCTCACTCCTCAGTCCAACCAGTAT